GGGCAGGAGCGCTCAGTCTGGTTTCTCAGGGAGCAGGAGAGACCTATGGCGAGACCCACGCTGCCGGCCCCAGGCCGTGTCTGCCCGCTGCCCCCTGCTCGCCAGGGAGTGTCTGGAACTTTCCTGAGTCAGGAGGCCCTTTGGGAAATCTTAAGCAGCTTTGCCACAACACCTGTCCGCGCTGACTTGCCTGTCGTTTCGCCCGAGCAGCCAGGCTGTTTGCTTTAGATGATCTAGGGGCGTCCTGAGGAGCTCGTGTTGTGGGGCCACTTGACACCTCTGAATGCTGCTCACGTGGGAGGTTCCGTGAAGGGCTCGTCAGCTCCGTGCCTCCCCGCCAGTGGTGTCCAGAGTGACTGTCCTAGCAGAAACCAGCCCGGGTCTTGGCCTTGCCTTTTGGCACGTGTGCCACCACTGTGGGGGGCGGGGGGCGCTGGTGCTGAGAGTCCAGCTCTGCCGCCAACACCCGCCTGCTGGAGCCCCAGGATGGCTGGCGCCTGGGGTTCAGGCCAGGTCCCAGCTTCGGGTTTCTCCAGCGCAGATCGGCCCTGGAACACGGGCACCCGGGGGCATGCTGGCCGGGGCACCTGCGGGGTAGCGCGGTAGGCGGCCTGTTCTGACCCTATCAGGACGTGGAGCTCATCTTGGGGGCTGGGATTTTGCGCTGAGACCCGGGGTGGAGAGTCCAGTGTCCGAGCCGCAGTCTGGGCCGGAGCAGAAGGACAGAGGCTTCTGCTATGTTCCCGTGTGCCAGCCGCGTGCCCACCCTGGCGCTTCCGCGTGCCCGTCCCGCACACCCGCCCCAACCTGTACCCCAGGAGTCTCAAGAACAAGCTGTGGGCCCCGCAGGTCAAAGGGAGACTCTGCCACCCGTGTGTGGGGCGTCCACACTGCCGTGGACCACAGCACCCCGCGGTTCAGAGGGGCAGGACGAGTCCAGAGGCCTTGGGGAGAGAGCGGCCCCAGACAGAGGCCGCGGGTCAGGGAGATGGCTCCCAGGGAGGGAGGCCCTTTCCCTCGGCACTCATGTCCTCCTCAGAGCCCCGTCCTCCTCCCGGGGAGCCCCCGCACCCCTCCCCCCGCAGGGGCAGCGTTTCTGCCCCCAGGCCAGGCCTGGTGCTTGGACAGAATTCCCAGGGCTCGTCCTGGAGCTCGTCGCTGACCCGGGGCCCTTTCCCAGGCGCTGGCGTGCAGGAAGCGCCGCAGCTGTCTAGTCGCCGCCGGCGCAGACATGAGCGCCCGGGCTTGGGCCGAGCCCCCGCACCACAGACTCCAGCCTGCACCACACACCGCCCCATGGCGCACGGCCGGCCAGCTGGGGCTCGCTCCCCGGCAGGAGCCTCGCGAGAAGCCCCCGCGTCTCGGGCACCGAGGGCCCAGAGGCTCTGCCCCCATGCCCTGCCCTGCTCCCCCGTCCACCTCTGGCTCCGGGGGGCCTGGACGGCCGGCGTCTGGGGAGGGGCCCGGAGCCCCTGCCACCAGTAGCTGCATTTCCAACCTTTCAAAGTCCAGGGGCGCCTTTGGGTTCCACGTCTGCCTGCTCAGGGCCTACTGGGCCGTCTGGGGCTTACCACCTGCACCCCAACTTTTACTGAGCTCAAGGTTGGAGCCGAGTGCCAGGGTGCAGGAAACTGCTCTCCTGCTTGCAGGCGTCTGCGGAGGCAGGGGGGTCGCCCCGGGGTCCGCCCCCCTCTCCGGGAACCAGAGCTTGCCTGGGAGTGGGCTCTACTTATCCGGGTCTGTGATGGGTCCCCTTTGGTTTTCGTGGGTGATTACGTTTCCCCCAAAGCTAGAACCTCCCTACTTCTGCTTCCGCCTTGCAGGAGCTCCGCTGGCGGGACCCGCATCCCACACTCGGTGCCCACCCCGCGCTCACGCCCTCAGCGGCTCACAGGAGGGGAAGCAGAGGGGGCCTGCGAGAAGAACCATTTCTTTCCTTATTTTATGGATTTTTTAAAAAGTTTATCCTTATTTACATAACGTAATCTGCAAGGCTTCTCAAATTGCACCCTGCATGAAATGCTGTTTCATGCCGAATTTAAGGGCTGATTTCGGTGCGTGCGTAGCTCTGTGCTGTCCCTTTTCATGTTTAAAATGGTGGCATTTTGCCCTTTCTCAAGTTTGGAGTTTCCCCTCTGAGGATGCGGCAGGATCCCTTCATGGGTCCGCAGGCCCCCTCCGCTCACCGGCGCAGCGCCCGGCCCTGAGGCCCGAGGATGAACAAGGAGCTGCATCATGTCCCAGAGAACAGCCTACAAAGTCCTCTCTGTGGTCCTCTGTCGACCTGTCACCGGACAGCCCGAGCCTCGGCCCCCAGGTCGCTGCCTGACCCTCGAGCTCTGTGGGAAGCCGGAGGCGGAGGGGCCTCCTCTGGGTGTTCACCTGCCTGCCTCTGGCCGTGAGCCCAGCCAGGTGCTCGCCCGGCCTGTCCCAGCTGCGGACGGGGCTCAGGCGCGGCCACAGCCCTTCGCCCGGCTCCCGGCTTCTCCCGGTGGGGGATCGCGAGCGCCGGGCCGCCGGCCAGCTTGCCGCCTGCGCGGCCTGCCAGCTAATTGTGTAGCTGCTTGAATGTGCATCCTGTCTGTCCACTCAGCGGCAGTGCCCGTAATAATCTTGGACGGGGGACGGGATATTAGATTATTCATGTGCACTTTTGTCTGAACAAAAGATTAGGAAAGTTAAAAAAATACGAGGGCGATGCCAAGAGCCGTGTCGGTGGGGGCACTTCCTTCTCGCCGCTTGATTTCAAAGCCCTCGGGGCCCTGGATTGCTTAAGCGTTCTGGTGGCATTTGGAAGACTGTGTTCTCGCGGTGGAGCCAGCACTGGGGTCCGGAGCTCCGGGTTCTGTTCCCAGGAGCGCGCGGCGCGGGGTCGGCCAGAGCATCCGCCGGGCCCGTCCGCGGCGCACCCTCCTTTCCCCGTCTGTGAAACGGACTTCAAGGGGCTGACGCCGTGCCGGGGCTGTTGGAGGCTTCGCTGGGAACCGGCTTGGTCCAGTGACCTAGAAACGGAACAGCCGCGCAGCTGACCTCGTTTCTATTTCTGACTCTAGTGCTGACTCAATGAGAAACTTCTAGAAACCAGCGCCCCGGCTCTGGCCGCCTCGCCCTCGGCGAGGAGCTGTGATTGTAGCACCTGAGCCGCGCGCCCGGCCTGGCTGTGCTCCCGCGTCTCCCGCAGTGCTGGGCGCCCGCCGGCTTCCAGCTTCCTCCCGCCCCGGCGGCTCGGGTCATCCAGGGTCACCCCCGCCGCTGCTCTTTTTTTTTTTTAAAGCCCAATGTTGGCGCCTGACGCAGCTCTCTTGGGTACAATGTCCCCGGGTCTGGATAAGCAGGAGGCGGCCGGGGTGACGGAGTCGGCCCCGCCTTGTCCTGGGCTGAGGACAGCCCAGCCGCTCTCCTGTGGGGGAGTCTGGGGAGAGCGTCCTGCTCCCCAGCGTCCAGCCCCGGGGGGGAGCAGCCTCCTGGGTCGGGTCCGCGCCGGATCCCCTGTCCCCTCCTCGCAGCTCCCGGGGCTGCTGGGCCAGGGCCGGCGCGTTGCAGGCTTCGCCTTCTTAATCCCGGGCTGACTTATCGCGTCCTCTAGCGTGGAGACACCCCAGGGGCGGCGCCCCCAGCTCAGCCTTCTCGCCTTCATAAGAGCCCCCGCCGGTGGCGGAGGAGAGGAGCCCCTGGGAGCTCTGTCTCTTTTGTTTCTGCCATGGATCTTTTTAAACATTTTGATTCTTTTTATTTATTTATTTCATTAATTTTTGCATAGAAGAACTCGGGTGCAGGCCAGAGGTGCGGGGGTGAGAGGACTCCCCAGAGACAGAGTGGGGAGCAGAACAGGTGGATCCACTGACACCCACTGCTGAGGGGAGCAGCGGGGAGACAGGAGAGTCTGCTGCGCCCTGTGGGTAGCTCCCTGGCCGGGGATCAGACTCAGGCCGCGGTGGTGACCTCTGGGCCACATGGGAGGCCCCATCATTTCTGCCATGAGTTTTAAGCAACTCATGACGACGTGCTGCTTCGGGGGCATGTTGAGAGTATGCGATGCCCGTCACGCGGTGTGTTTCCCCGCGAGCTGATTGATGCCCCTGGGGAGCCCCTGAACCCACTCTCCCGTCGCCGCAAATTCCTCTGCTCTTAGCGCCGCCGCTGGCCGCTTTGGGCTGAGGCTGGGAGTGTCCGCGCGCTGGAGGGTTTCTGGCTTTGACCTTGCAGCCTAACCGCTGGCCGCCCCACCCGCCCCTCGCACCTGCCCCCGGCGCCTCGGGGGAGCCCCGACTCCAGCCTCCTTCCTCCACGTTCCCACCCCGCAGTCTCATCCTGGCCGGTCGCCTGGCCCGGCTCTGGTCCTCACCTCCGTCTGTTCGCGCCGCCCCCTGAACCCCCTCCCCCCTTCTCGTCACAGATTTATTTTGTGTTCTCCCCTCGGGGGCAGCTGACGACGGACCCCCCGCGGGTGTCTGACCATCCCTGCTGTGTGCGCGGCGGCCACGGTGTGCCTGGAACAAGGCATCATAAGAACAATGTTTCTGATTTCTTTAGTCCTCCGTGAGGGCAGAGACCATAATTACGGGCTTTGGGGGAAAAAAATCACTTTTAAAAGTTGCTGATGGGAGGCCCAGGGCCGGCTGGAGCGGCAGAGCCTCCCGCGCTGGCCCGTGGGGGTCCCGGAGCGCTGGACTCTGCTCCCGGCCTGGCCTTGCATCTCCTCACGGGAGGAGGCCACTAATTGCATGAAATCACAGTCAACTTGGGGGAAAACAGCCCAACTATTCATTATCCCATTTTCCCAAGAGGTGACTCAGTGTTCAGGAAGTGGTGAGCGGAGAGCGCTGTGCCAGCTGCTTCGGGCGGACATCCCTGCCCTCGCGGGCTCGGAGAGCGTGGAAAGGCGCCCGCGGGCCGTGCACGGAGCTCCTGCACACGTGCGCGGTGGTCAGGGTGGGGGGCCCACATCGAGGCCGGGGCGCAGCTGCTCCTGCTCTGTCTGACTCGCTGCTCTCTTGCAGGGTGAGAGAGGCCTCCCGGGGCTGCAAGGCGTCATCGGCTTTCCTGGGATGCAAGGCCCCGAGGGGCCGCCGGGACCCCCTGGACAGAAGGTGAGCGGGCGGGGAGGGCGACGGGAGGGGAGCCGGCGTCTCGCGGTGGTCTGACGGCGTCTGCTTGTTGCAGGGCGACACTGGAGAACCGGGGCTGCCGGGAACGAAGGGGACACGCGTGAGTGCCGTTGATGCTTGTCTTGGTGACCCTGGCGGGGTGAAGCCCCCACCGCCGAGCCCCGGGGCCCCTTGGAGTCTGGCGAAGCTGGGCCTGCCCCTCCCTCCCCCCGCACACTCAGCAGAGCTCCCAGCTCGTCCTCCACCTGCTCGTTCCCATCCGGGTCCTTGTAGACATGTTTTTTTGGGGGGCGTGTGTACGCCCCTTCCCTCCCCGGCCCTCCGGGAGGCAGAAACCATGACCTTTGACAGCAAGTGTGGAGGAGAGAAAAGAGGACAGATGTGAAGTGCAAAGGTTTTCACTCTGCCTTGTTCCTGGTGAAGGGGGTGGGGTGCGGCCCGGGCGCCCCGTGTCCTGGGCTGCAGGGAGGGGCCAACTGTGGCACTTGGGCCTTCAGGCAGCAGTGACTGTTCTTCCTGCCATGAGCGGAGATGGCTGTAAGTCTCCTTCCAGGCCAGAGGTTTCTGTGTAAATGACGCGTGCGTGGGTGTTCAGTGTGTGCGTGTGCGCTGTGCACACTGCGTGCGTCTGGTGCGGTGCAGGTGCAGGCACGAGGGTGTGTTCTGTAAGCGAGAAAGTACAAGGGAGGTGTGAGGACAGGGCTGTTCTGTGCCTGTGCAATCTGGTTTTGAGGCCATCAGCGTCAGCTGTGAGGCAGACTCGCCACTGACTCCAGCGAGATCTGCCCCGGGCGCAGCACCCACCCAGTGCTCCATGCCCTGCCGGTGCCTTGGCACACAATTGAGCTGGTGCCTGGGGCCGGCTGTGCAGCGGGAGGGCGAGGGGCTGCCGGCCCAGGGCACTGACTGTCCACTCCGTCCTCACAGGGCCCCCCCGGAGCTGCGGGCTACCCCGGCAACCCAGGACTGCCTGTACGTAAGCCCAGCCCGCCCCTCTCCTGGTGGCTGCCTGTGGGGTGACAGCCGGGCCCCCCCTGCCATACGCCCGCCCGCACTACTTCTCTCTCTTGTCCACTGCAGGGTATTCCTGGCCAAGACGGGCCCCCGGGCCCCCCCGGCATCCCGGGCTGCAACGGGACAAAGGTAAAGCCCTTGACTTCGGAGGGGCACACGCCCCTTGGGGCTTCAGGGAAGGCTTCATCGGCCTTTCTTTTTGTTGACTTTTTACCCTAAAACTGCTGTCAGTAATCCTGCCTCCACTAGTGACACCCGCAAACACGTCTCCGAGGACAGCTCGTGAGGCACTTTAGGAGATGATGTTAGCCACCAGCGCACCCCTCTGGGGTGGGGCACCTGCAGGACGGGTGTCCCGCTGGCTCTGCAGGCCCCCGAGTGACCGTCTCTGTCCCCACAGGGCGAGAGAGGGCCCCTGGGCCCCCCCGGCTTGCCTGGCTTCACTGGAAACCCTGTGAGTACAGGCCGGGGCTCGCCTCCGGCCGCTGCTGCTCCTCCTTCCCCTCCCTGCTCCCCCCGTGTCTCCATGCTAATGGTGTTTTAAGAAAAACCAAGCTAACGGCCCCCTCCTTCTTCCAGGGCCCCCCCGGCTTACCAGGGATGAAGGTACGTACGTCGCTTTAGTTTCCCGGATTCAGTCTGAGCAAAGGCATGTAGAGAGAGACCCTGTGATTCGGTGACTTGTTCATGGAAACCCTGGCGCATGCGTCCGGCCTGTCGCCTGCAACGGGCACACAAGTCACGCGCGTGGGCGCAACCCCACAGTCCAGAGCTCGATGCCTCGAGTGTTTTCTGCCCGGGGTGGGTGGGGGTCGCACAGGTGAGCCCTCCGGGCTCCGGCAGGCCAGCCCCTAGGCGCCTCCTGAGCCCGCACCTCAGCCCGGCGCCCCAGGCCTCGCTCGATCCCATAGCGTGCGGGGTCACTCAGCGCCCCGCCCCAGTCTGCATCCCCGGGCAGCCGTCCCCCAGCGCCCCGCGCCCAGCAGGTGTCCGTTGCTTTACCTGAACATCAGCTTTCCTGACCTCCGACTCTCGTCCCACAGGGAGACCCGGGTGAGATCCTCGGCCACATTCCTGGGACCATCCTGAAGGGTGAAAGAGGGTTCCCAGGGCCCCCCGGAACACCGGTAAGCACCGCTCGGCGCGCTGGGCAGGGCAGGGCAGGCCCGCAGGTGGTGCTGACGCTCTCCTCCCCGCTTCCAGGGCTCCCCGGGGCTGCCAGGCCTGCAGGGTCCCGTGGGGCCTCCGGGATATCTCGGACCACCGGTAAGTCTGGGGGTGTCTGGGGCTGTTCTCAGGGAGCAGCCTGTGGGGGGCGGGGCTCAGCGGGAGGCGATCTGTGGGCCGCGCGCTGATCTTAAACTGCTCCAATCCAGCAGGCCCGCCCGTGCTGGGAAAGGTGTCTTTCCCCCTCGGCTTGTAAATACGTGATTTTTTTTCATTTTTAAGTAATTCTTTTTTCTTATAAATAAATGATTTTCTGTTGTCGCAAACAGGTGGTTTTGTGTGGGGGAGTAAAACATGACTGCTCCTTCTCTTTTAAATGGTTATAACGCGCAGGCTAAAATTTTTTGACTTCAATGCCTTCCCCTCACTTGAAGGAATTGTTGTGGTTTTTAGGATAAACCACTAGATCTGACGTGGACAAGCATCCCTTTGGGTTTGGGCCCACAGAGGGCTTGGCTGGCCATGTCACCCACTGCCCGAGAGCCTGGCATGGTCTTGGCTTACGTGGACCCCACGGCACGAGGGCTAAGATTTGGAGGCATTTCTGTCCCTCTTAATAATCGTCCATACTAATTTCTTTTTTAGGATTTATTTATTTATGCATACAAGAGCTGGGGTGCAGGCCATAGATGCAGGGGTTAAGAGGACCCACCAGAGACAGGGTGGGGAGCAGAACAGGCAGATCCACTGAGATCCACTGCTGAGGGGAGCAGGGCAGGGCAGGGCAGGCCCGAGACAGGAGAGGTCTGCTGCGCCCTGTGGGTAGCTCCCTGGCTGGCCGGGGATGGAACTCGTGCTGCAGAGGCTGTGGCCAGCTTCATAGTGTGGTGCTCAACCCCTTGCGCCACCAGGGAGGCGCTCGCCCACACTCATTTCTGCTGACGTTCAAAGTTGTCCAGTTCCATAGCACGGGGAAAATGTTTAGATCACGAGTAAATGACCACATTGACCCCGGGGTCTGAAGGGAGCCCCAGTTCAGAGAGGCCTGCGAGGGTGGCCGGGGCGGGAGCCGTGTGAACTGGTGTGTGCTTTCTTGCAGGGTCCTCCCGGCCCTCCCGGCCCCCCTGGCGAAAAGGTAAAGGGCTTTTTCATTCTCTTTGGCGTTAGTATAAGATCATCACGAAATTGCCATTTCATCCGCTCAGTCTTCCTGGGAAGTGTCTGAAGAGCATAATTTCTTCTGTTTTCAGCACCCACCCATTTATCCGTCTGTCTCTCCATCCTTCCATCCGCCCGCCCGCCCGCCCATCCGTCCCTCTTCCCGTCTACCCTTGAGTCGTTATTTTGGAATTGCTGATTTTTTCTAAAGTCAGAGTTTAAAAGCATTAAGTTTTTAAAAAAATGCCTCTGTAGACTTCCCCGTCACTACTGCTTCACAAAACATTTTTAATAGACTTTGACCCCAAGACCATCACCAACTGTCTTGACAGCGTTTTGGTGACTGTGGGTGGAGGCTGTTGCCGTAAATCCACCATCTGTTGCATTTTATGTGACGCTTGCTGGATGTTTTTTGAACTAAGTAGGTGGCTCTAATAATGGAAGTCTAATTTTTAATCCACAGGGACAAATGGGCTTAAGTTTCCAAGGCCCCAAAGGCGACAAGGTGAGTGTGTGCTGCGCGGCAGGGTCTCCGGGCACAGCCAGGTCTGGCGGGAGGGCAGCGTCTGGGCACTCGCCCCACTTCCCGTGGGCCGGTGCCTGGGGAGGAGCTTCTCCTGGGTCTCTTCTTTTTGCCTCAGCTCCAGCCGCCTCCCCTCTCCCCAGACTCCAGCGCAGACTAGAGGGTCGGGGCGTGGCTGTGTCCTGCACTCACATGCGTGGCCGCGGCGTCTCGTGGCGTGTGCTGCTGTGCCTCAGGGCCGCTGCGCCTGCCGAGATGGGCTGCCTGACCCAGGGAGCCTCCTCCTGCCGTCGGGCTCAGGGCCTTCAGATTGTCCCGCTGAGACCTCATTTTCTGTGGCACAAGATGCCCTGGAGCAGGGTCTAGTTACATTTTATTTTATTTTATTTTTTAAAGATTTATTTATCTATGCACACAAGAGCTGGGGTGCAGGCCAGAGGTGTGGGAGTGGGGTGAGAGGACTCACCAGAGACAGAGTGGGGAGCAGAACAGGCGGGTCCGCTGAAACCCACTGCTGAGGGGAGCAGCAGGAGACAGGAGAGGGCTGCTGCGCCCTGGGGGTTGCTCCCTGGCCGGCCGGGGATGGAACTCGTGCTGCAGAGGCTGCGGATGGCCTCGTCGTGCTTCATAGTGCGGTGCTTAATCCCTTGCGCCGCCAGGGAGGCCCTCCAGTTACATTTTAAAAGCGGATTTTTTTAGGGTTTCCCCCTCCTCTGCACCTCTTTTCTCTGGAGTTGTCTTCACACCTGGTTAATTTTGCTTCCGCAGGGCGACCAGGGCGCCACCGGGCCTCCTGGGGTCCCCGGCCAGGCTCAGGTCATGGAGAAGGGCGAGTACGCCACGAAAGGAGAGAAGGTGAGGCCGGCTCTCCCGCCCGGGGAGAGAGGAACTGGGTCTGACTCCGCACCCCCGGCTGGGCTCAGCCTGGTTGGAAAACGGCTTCTAGGCCACAGCCCCAGGCCCTGAGCCTCCCGAGAGCAGAGGCGGGAGGACTGTGCCGGGAGGCGGCGTGAAGCCCACTCGCCACGCAGGGCCCGGGAGGGCGACGCGTCGGGGTGGGCTGGGTCGGCGAGGGAGACAGGCTGAGGCGGGCGGGAGGCCCAGCTGCGAGGAGCACGTCCCGGAGCCACAGCCCCGGCCGGCCGGCGCGGGGTGCGGGCGGGGGGCCCTGGGCTTGCCCGCCAGAGCTGGGCAGGCTCGCCTTCCCGCACGGGCTCCCGCGGCCGTCCCGAGCGCTCATCTCTCCTTAAATGATTTCCTTTTAGGGTCAAAAAGGCGAACCTGGCTTTCAGGTGAGTTCTTCACCATCATCCTTGTGTGTGGAGCAGCGTAATACGAGTTGCATGTTACGTGCAGTGCACCTCCCCTGACGTGCGGTATTTCCGTAATTCAGTATCTGCCTTCTGCCTAATACGTCCTCATTTTCGACGTTGCAGGGGAGGCCAGGCCTCGGCGAGAAAGGCGAACCTGGCAAGCCAGGGCCCCGGGTAAGTGCTTCCCAGCGGCTCTGGCTCTGCGCTGTGACCGCCTCCCCGCCCCAGGATGGACGAGGCTGTGTGTGTGTTGGGGGGCTGGCTGTCCTGTTCTCCGTGGGCTTCCCTGAAGCCCCCGTGCAGGAGGGGGGAGCCCTTCGAAGATGTCCTTGGGAGGGTGGCCCTGCATCGCTCAGAGGCCCCCCGAAACAGGCGGGGCCTCTTTGGGAGGGTCTTTGGGAGCTGCAGGGGGTCTTTGGGAGCTGCCGCCTGCTGGCCTCTCTGCACACCCCTGCCGCCTGCTCGGGCACAGGCTGCCTTAGCTGCTGCCCCTGGGTCAGGCCGAGCTCCCGCCAGCACCCAGGGGGGCATCCCGGGGCGCAGAGGCTCCAGGGCTGCTCCTGTGAGTCCCGGGCACAAGGCCCACCAGCTGGGAGGCCGAGCCGCCTCTGGCTTCTGCCCTGAGATGACCCGGCAGACCCCTGTTGAGGCGAGGGCTCTGCGTAGCCCTTCCACGCTGCTGTGGGGTCCGCTGTGCGGCCGGTGCGGCGGTGCCGAACCTGCGCGGGTCAGCGGGCAGGCGCTGAAGAGGCCTCCTCTCCGAGACTTCCTCTGGCCGCCGGGGTCCACGCCAGCTCTTGCACTGCCGCGCTGGGTCCCGGGCTCCTGGGGAGATGGCCGGGGGGCGGGCAGCGTCGCTCTCCCGCCTGGGCTGAAGCGGCTCGCGGCGAGCACACTGAGCTCTCATTTCTATGGGCACAGTTTTGCTTGTTTCTGGACCCCCAAAATAACCTACCACGTCACACCAAAAATACATTAGACGTCAAGAAGTGTAGCAGGTGGTAGAAGCGGGACTGCGGCCAGCACAGGCCGGGGGCGCAGGCCCGGGAGCCGGCTCCGCAGACACGCTGACGGCTGCTCCCGCGCGCCCGCTCTTGCTGAAAGTGGAAACTGCCCTGGGGGTTCTTTCGGGGAGCAAAAGCAGGCAGGGATGTAGGGCTTTTCTGTGCCAGCCTCGTGGCCAAACGTGAACCTCGGAAAAGCGGGGACGCCTGTGCTTGAATCAGAGCCCGCTGGACGGCCTCTCCATTTTCATCTTTAATGAAGTTTTAATGGGGCGCCTTTTTTTTTGTACAGGGAAAGCCTGGAAAAGACGGTGAAAAGGGAGAGCGAGGGAGTCCGGTAAGTCTCCTCTGCAATTTTGAAAAGCGAACGTGACCGCTGCCGGCTAACGACCACCCCGTCTTCTCTTTCCAGGGCACCCGCGGAGACCCGGGGTACGGGGGGCTCCCCGGCCGAGACGGCGCCAAGGTAAATGACAACGTGATTTTGATTCTGATTTTTCGACCTCCGTGTGTAGTTCAACCGAGACGTGTCTCCCACAACCAAGGACCCCAGACCGAAAAACCAAAAATGCCTCGGGCTCCATGTGCCCCTCAGCACAGCTCTCGGGGCTCACTGGTGATGTCACGCTTTAAAGAAAAACTCCCCCCATCAGGTTTTTGTGTCTTTTGTAGTGGGCTTGTCTGTCCTGATCGTAGGCAGTGGACTCTGCAGCAGGAGGCCGTGACGAGACAGCAGAGCCCGGTCTGTCGACCCTGGACGCGGTCAGCAGTGACCGTCTCCTTGCTGGACACGTCTTGTGTCCACTTTCCAGCATAACTTGCGGCCGTTTCGGTGCTGGCCAGTGTGCCTGTCCATGTGCCGGTTGCTGTGTGGCGTTGAGGCGATTTCCACGTCTTTGTGGTGACAGGTGTTCTCTCACTTGTCTGGTCCCTTCCACGTCGCGGTTCCTGCCGGTGTCACTGCTGCCTCGACGCCGAGGCTCTCTTGGGGAAGCCTGGCCGTGGCCACCCCCGCGGCTGCTTTGCCTTTTGATCAGGAGCTGGTCGCGGGGTCTCCGCTGCAGGGGGGCTGAGGCCCGCGCAGCCCGCACGGCTCGCGAGCGCGGGGACGGCCTTCCCCAGCAGGGCACAGGCGCCCGCTGCGGCCAGGCTCTGAGAAGAAAAGCTGAGGCTGTTGCGTGGAAGACGCGCTGGGACTGTGTCAGCTGAGATTTTAAGTCCCAGGATATTTCTAAAGTGTCTCATACTGAAGTGGGAAAAGCCCAAACGTGCAGCTGCGGGCTGACGCCTTCGTTCGAAAGGAAAGGCGGCCCGTGGGGGGTCACGGCACGTCGCCCCGTCCTTCTGTGAGGCGACGGGCCGGTCTCCGGCCCCGGGGACGGTCAGCCCCAGGCAGGTGGGGTTTACTCCCCCGACGCGCTCAGGCCTGGCTGGCTTGAAGAGAAGCCGAGAAACCATAAATGCCCTTTATTAGCGCAGGCGGTGCAGGCTCAGACAGCGGAATCGGAACCCTCGGGTAAAGGATTTCTCTAAGGAAATGTGTTTGCAAATCTTCCTCTCTTCATTTTAGTTGTTGTCCTGTGACTGAGAACCTGCAGGTGCTAACTCAGCCAGCAGTGACCCCTGGGGGCTGAGGGCAGCACCGGCCTGGTGTGGACAGGCCGTCCGTGAGGGCCTCTCTGAGACGGGGCGCGGCCAGGGCCGGGAGGGGGTTTCAGTGCACGCGGCCACCTTCTCTGGTGTTCCAAAAAAAGACCCAAAAAACTCCAGCGCCGCTTTCTGCAGGAAAACCTTTACAATGGAAAAGCACAGCCACGTTCTTTTCCCTTTTGTAGGGAGACAAAGGCGAAGCGGGACCCCCGGGCCCACCCGGCATCGTGAGTACCGGCTGCGCGGGGTCTGCGTGGGGGGGCTGCCCGCGGGGGCTGCGTGCTCAGAGGGGCACCTGAGAGTTTGTGTGGCCTGGGGTTTGGGGTTCGGGGCTCACTCTGTCGTATTTTGACAATTCCTGCCAACCTTTGACCACTGCAGATGAAAAGATTTGCATGTGTATAAAAATATTAGCTGCGCATCTGGGGACTTTCCCAGGAAATGGGCCATTGCTGCGCACCCGCCCGTCCTACCAAAATGAGTTTCAGTCTTGCGAGTCACGCCTCAGCTTCTGTCCACAAGCGACCTTCCACAGTCCCACGGCACAGCGCGTCCTGCTGCCGTCGGTGGCCAGGCGCCCGTCTGTGTCGGGGCCCTGGGGAGGCGGCGGTGCTTGGCTCTGCCCACCTTGCAACGCTGTGGGCTGTGTGTGAGGTTGCATGTGTGCGTGTGTGCGTGCGTGTGTGTGTGTGTGTGTGTGTGGGGCTTTGGATGGCTCCCCCCACACTTCAGGAGGCTGTTGGAGCAGAGCATTGCCCCCCGGGACTCCGCCCCCCACGTACGCCCCGCTGCCTGTCCCACCTTGTGGGCTTCGGGGAGCAGGACTAGAGCAACCTGCTTTACCTTCGGGCGCCGGCAGGTTCCCGTAGCGGCCTTCATGGTCGCAGGATCGCGGGCAGCGTGTGGCGCGCGTGGCTTCAGTGGCGGTCAGGCGGGCCAGGCCGCTTCCTTTAACAGCCCAGCAGTGTGTCTGGCCCAGCCCCAAGGCCTCGGGAAGTCCCCACTCAGGCCGCTTAAAAACAAGCAACACCTCTCTGGCGGCGCGAGCGCCCCGCCGCGGCTGCCGGAGGAGACCGAGGGTGTTTGTCCGCGGGCTCCCTCGAGGAGACCCCTCGCGCGCTGCTGCGGGCCCTGGGGACGCCGGGCCTGAGCCTCGGCTCCCGGCTCCCGACTGCCCGCTGGCAGCTCAGCCGCAAATCACTGGCGAGGAAGCCGCTGCCTGGGGGTCCTCTGCGGGGTGGGGGCGCGCGTGTCCACGGGACACGCCTCCAGACGCCCCTGCGCCCGCCCCCCTCCCCGCGGTGCGTGGACGCCACACGCTCACCTGCGCTCCTCTCGTCCAGGGCGACGGCGCGTTGGGCGAGAAAGGAGACCGCGGGCACCCGGGGGCTCCGGGGCTGAGAGGGGAGCCCGGCCCCAAAGGCAAGTCCCCTCCCTTCCCCCTGTGCCTCCTCTTCCCTCCCCTCACCCCTCCCTCATCCCATCACCCCCTCCCTTCCCCCCCTTCCCCCCCCCTCCCTGCGCCTCCCTGCTCCCCTTGCCCTCACTCTCTCCATTTCCGCCCTCGGGCACTCGCCCCCCAGGATGCCCGTTCCCACCCTGAGGACCTGCTGCTGCTGCTGCTGCTGCTGCTGCTGCTGCCCTCAGGCTGCAGCCCGTGGGGCGGCTCCTGCCCATGGGGCTGGCTGTCAGGCCCCAGGCTCTGCCCTGGAGCAGCGACCCGGCTCCGAGTGAACCAGCGCAGCTGCTCAGTGGGCCTGTCTCCCCCTCTTTTTCAGGGTTGCCAGGATTGCAAGGCCAGCCGGGCCCTCCAGGTGAGCACCCTTAAAGGACGCTTTCAGGATGTTTGCGCCACATCTCTGTGGCTTACGTCCTCACGCAAGTGCAAGGCTTGCACGGAGCGGTCAGCAGTGTGGCCGCCCAGTCAGTTATGAGGACACGGGCTGGTGGGGGGCTCACCTGTAAGTTATGCAGGGAGGCTGGCCCTGCCTCTCGGGCCGACCACTGCCCTGCCCCCCACCTGCCCCCACCCCCTCAGCAACCAGGCGCCCCGATTTCCAGCACGGGCAGGCTCTTCCCCCATCTCGGGACACCCCTGTTCTCAGTCCCGAGCTGACCAGCTGCATCTGCCCCTCAGAGGCCTTGTCTTTGGGCTCAGCCCCGCCCTGCACTGCCCAGGCTGCTGCTCTGCCTGACCCAGAGGCCAGAACTGCCTGGGTCCTGGGGCTGGGGGCGCCCCCTCCCTCCTGCTCCTCCTCCCCATGGCAGGTGCCTCTTCTCCTGCAGCCTCCGGGGCCAGGCCCCCGCAGCGTCACCTGCCCACTCAGGTCGCTAAGCCGTGGTATCTGTCCCCTAAAGTGCTGGCGCTGGACTCTGCTCTGCGCCCAGGCCTCCTGCCCTGACTGCAAACCCTTTTACTGCACCCCCTGCTCCCCCTAACTGGCCTGCGGCTTTTCCTCTGCTGTCGACCGGGACCATGCGCCTGGGTTCGTGGCTCTTTCCGCTGATGCCCTAAGTGTGCCCGAGCCCCCCTCTGCGGCCTTTACATCACGTGCCCGGAAAGAAAGTCTCGGGCTCTTACCATCCACCGGCGAGTCCCTCCCCCAGGCTGCTTGCGGCCGGCGGCTGTCGGCTGCAGGTGGCCGCCCCACTGGCTGGCCTGCCCTCGCCGTGGGAGCACCGCGCCGCGAGCAGAGGCAGAAACCCTAGGCCGACCCTCTTCTGTTCCTCTTCCAGGCTTCCCGGTCCCGGGGCAGCCCGGCCCCCCCGGCTTCCCCGGCGAGAGGGGAGAGAAGGGCGACCGTGGCTTCCCAGGAACGTCTCTGCCAGGCCAGAGTGGACAGGACGGGCTCCCGGGACCCCCTGGACCTCCTGGCCCCCCGGGGCGGCCCGGCCACACCAGTGAGTCCCTCTGGGGCTGGTCTGCGTGGAGGATGGGGTGCGGGGCGCTCGGGTCCAGGGTGCTCGATTCGTGACGGTGGGTTCACACCGGGTCCACGGCTGCTGTCGCCCCCACGGCCGGCACGGCCACGGTAATGAAGCTGCTCAAAGGGCCCAGCCCGTCTTGCCGGCCCTGAGGCTCCTGTGTCCAGACCTGCTGAGCTGTGCGTCTCCCTCTGCGAGCAGCGCTGCCTGGTGCTCTGGGCTGGATCACACCGATGTGCCCCTGGGGGCTGCTGTGGGGGCCGGCTGCACACCGCGGGGCCGTGCTGGCGGCCTCAGATGTGAGCGGCACTTTGCGTGGGTTTCCCGACGTCAGCCGGCCCCCGCAAAGCTGAGCACAGGGCCTAAGCTCTTGATTCAGTTTTGGGTCCATGATCCCAGGGCAAAGTGAAGAATGTTCCAGAGGATTTGCTAGTGTCACTGTGGGGACATGCCTGATGCACTGGGGTCTCGCCCTGTGCTCCGAGCCCTCTGGGCATCACGCTCTGTGAGGGTCTCCGTGTGCAGCCCCTGGGCCCTCCTTGGGCTCTGATTTCAGCTTCCCTAGGAAAGGCCAGTTGGACGTGTCGCCAGGGGTGGTATGGGGCCAGCTGTCACTTCCCTGGGACACCCCCTTCTCGTGTGGCTCTGGGAAACGTGGAGACTGCCAGCGGGGCGCCCGTTGGCCCCTCCTCCTGCGGCCCTTCTCTCTGCATGTCTGGGAGGAGGCCCTAGTGTCCGCGGGGCCGGGGCCAGCTGGCCCGCCACCAGCCTTGCCGTGCGTCCCGGCCTGCCCCCTGGGAGATGCAGGCCCCCAGTGCTGGGTTGCCCTGGGAGACCCCGAGAAGGGGCTCCCGTGGTGCTGTGTGCTCGAGGCCACCCTGGGCCTGGCCCCAGGTGCTCTTGGCCTGACCGAGGCTCTTCCGCGGAGTCTGTTCAGGCGGAGCTAGAGGCCCTGCAGGTTGTTGCGGTCGCGCTGGCCTGGGGGGGATGCACCTGGGAACAAGGGTGAAGCCTCCAGCCTAGACACCTCCTCTGTGAGCTCGTCTCTCGGGGGCGTCTCTTGGAGGCCGTGGGGTCAGCGTGCTCGCAGCCTGCGGGCTGTAGCTTCAGCTGCCCAGGCTGCGGCGGAGGGACTGTGGGCAGGACGGGCGCCACTGGCCCTCCCTGAGCTGGGGTGCCCGGAAGCGTGGAAGCCGGCCTCTCTCCCCACCCGGTGGCCCGAAGCCGTTTGTCTCACAATAGCAATGGCAGCCACAGAGGCGGAAGCCCCCGCAGTTTGTGGGCTGACCCACAGCTTCGGTACTGGCGGGCTGGGCGTTTCGTGCCTGGGGGCCAGCGCCCGCTGTTCTGCAGGAGAAGCAGAAGCAGGGGAGGAGCCTCACGACCTCGGCCGCATGACCTGGCCCTCTGCACCGCAGCTCACGCTGTTTACAGCTCACTGCTGGCAACCTGGCCCATGAAGCCAACGAGGGGTCCCCAGGGTGTCTCTGTGAGCCGCCCTTGGGGTGGGGAGCAGCCCCGGCGCCAGGACGGCGTCCTGCGGGCAGGGGCGCAGCTCATGCTCTGGCTTGGAGATTGTCCCATCACGCCTTGCCCCTTGTGGAAAGCACGGCCTAAGAAAAAATATGTATCATTGGTCCCACTTTAGCTAGAAAAAACATCTGAGTCCTATATAAACGATTCACCAAACAGACGTGACTAGAAGGTGGAGACCCCAACAGTTGACTGTGTGGGTCCACTGAGCTTTGTTACTTTGGGGCGCCAGGTTTTCTCGCCCCCTTTGTCCCTTGCTGGACACTCAGGCTGCCCGCAGGTCCCAGCTGTTGACAATAGGGCGCTGTGGGCTTGCAGACACATCTGACCCCACAACTCTCAATGCATTTCAGATGGAATCGTGGAATGCCAGACTGGACCCCCAGGCGATCAGGGTCCCCCTGGAACTCCAGGGCACCCCGGGCTCACGGGAGAGGTTGGAGAGAAAGGTAAGAGGTTTAGATCATGCCTTGTTTGGGGTGCAGCCTGTAGCTGCGTGTGTGCTAGCGTGGGCTGTCCGGCGGGGAGTGGGGAGCAGTGCCCAGGGCAGGGGTCAGGTCTAGGCCAGAGCCCCCTTGGCTGAAGCAGCAAGTCAAAGTGAGGGGTTTCCGCAGCAGACCATCGGGAGGGTCCTGTGAGGTGTGGCCGGGGCACTCCTGGGCTCCGGCTGCTCTGGCAGGGCGGGGTCTGCCCTGCTGGGCGGGGTCCCGTGACGGTGCTGAGGTAGTGCGGGCACAGAGGCACCAGGGCCGCCGCTGGCTCCGCAGGCCGGGAGGACCTGCACCGTTGGTGCTGGCCCTCTGGGCACTTCCGTTCTGTGGAGACACCATGGGGACTTCTGTCCACTCCTCACCGTCCACCCCTCTGTCTCCCTCCTTAGGTCAGAAAGGAGAGAGCTGCCTCATCTGCGACACCACCGGGCTCCGTGGGCCTCCCGGTCCTCAGGGTCCCCCTGGAGAAATAGGTGAGTCCCAGGGGAGAGGGGATGGGGGGACCCTTCGCAGACTGGAAGGACAGCTGACATTGGGGTCAGCGGTCAGCGCCCTGGGACCTGTGCACACTGCTGGGAAGGGCCAAGGGGCCCCACTTGCGAGTCCGCCAGGCGTTCCTGGTTCCTGGTCTGTCACGAGGCTCCCGGCCCCAGGCTTGGGCACTGTCCCCGGGGGAGTTGCCCGGATGCTTCTGGAGGGCCCGGGCAGGTGGGCGGGCGGGCGCGAGCTCCCGTGTCCACCGCTGCCTCGGGCCCTGTACCCGCGCCTCACGCAGAGACCCGTGTGCTCTCTCTCGAGTCCTGGAGAGTCTCGGGTCTGGGACTCCGGGCGGTGCCTGGGCCGCGGCTGACGCCTCTCCCCTCTCCCGAAGGCTTCCCGGGACAGCCAGGTGCCAAGGGCGACAGAGGCGTGCCTGGCAAGGACGGCCTGGAAGGCGTGCCCGTAAGTGACCCGCGTGGCCAGCAGGGGCGGCTGCCCCGCACCTGGCGGGAGTGGGGCCCTTTGTTGCCGTCGGGGGCCTGGGGAGCGGGGAGGGCTGTGAGGTCCAGAACCATCTCCACCGCTGGCTGCTCACCTGGCCAGAAACCATGTGGCTGCCGGGTGCAGGCGTGGCCGTGGGCTGTCCCTCCCCCGGCTCCTGGCCGCCCGCGGGCGCTGAGGCCTGCGTCTGCCCGCGCCCGGCCCCTCCACCGGGAAGAGCGGCTGCTTCCGTCCGGGGCGCGGAGTGCTCCTTGGTAAAGCAGGGAGCGTTTTGAAAATGCCCATCACCGACGCCAGCGTTTGAAAGATGCCGTTTCACTCGTGGACGGCTCGCCAGCCCCCGGCCCGGGCCTTTCCGGGTAGACAGAGCAGCTGCTCACTTGTTGTCGTTTTCATTCTGTTTTAAAAGACACCCTGAGCCAGAAGGAGGGTAGGGAGAGCCTTCCATGTTGAGGAGAGCTTTTCAGCGCACGCGTCAGCTCTCTGCGCGTGGACGCCCCGGGCCTGCCGCCCGTCTCTGCTCTGCGGGCGCCGGGCGCGCGAGGTGTCCCGAGAGCCCTGTCTTCTCCTTCCTCTTTTCTGCCCTTTTTTCCTTCTGTCATAAATTGAAAGTCAAGTCTTTAGCCATGTTCTTTCATGATGTGGCTCTGTAAAATCCGTGATTTTAAAAAATATGTCAGGAAGCGTCTATAAAGGCAGATCAGAGCAAACGTCAGTTGACACGGGGATGAAACAGCTGGAATTCCGCGCAGTTTTCTCCTTTTGAAGTCGATCTTGGGTTTCTGCTTTCCAGACCTTCCCTGGTGCCGGGGAGCTAAGTTAGCCGTCACAGTTGTTTAAAAAACTTTCTAAACAAGGAGCGGCTCAGGGCTGGGAGCCCTGAGGGGCGGGGATCAAAGACCTTCTCAGGCTCGGAGACGCGAGGCGCTTACGGCGAGGACGTCCTGCTCCATCTGGCTGCGGCCCGCTCGCCGCCCGCCCCGGCTGCAAATCTAGGCAGAAGGGAAGAGAGCAGAGAAAGCGGGCCGGCCGAGGGGACATCCCGGGGAGGGAGAAAATGCACAGAAACGGGCAGCTGAACCCCAGTCCCGCACGCCCTCCCCGGGGGCCCTTCCTTCCTGCAGCGGGAGGAAGCGCCTGAAAGCTGTTTTCTGGGCACCTCGCTGGGAAAGAGAGCGAGTTCCCCTTTATTTGAAGTGGGGTCCCAGCGCCACGGTCTCACTGCCCCCCGGCCTTCTCTGCATTTGGGAGTTGGCTGGAGGCTGAAGCACTGTCGGGGCCCAGCGGGGCACCCCGGGAGCGGACCCACAGGGTTGGGGGCCCTGCGTCCCCCGGCCCAGATGGCACTTCTGCCCTGCGCTCGGGAGCCCGTGAACCTGCGGGGGGGTTGCTGGGGGTGACCCCAACTTTTCTCAGGGGAGTACTGCTCCCAGAACAGGAACCTAGTGGCCAATTGTCCCCCTCACGTGGCCAGCGCTGAATTTCAAGGCAACATCTGACTCGTTGCTCTCAAGAGTCGTGGCTTAGGAGCTTGACATGTTTCCACGAAGAAGCCCCGGCCGAGCCACGCGGCATCCAGGCCACTTACAAAAATCTGGATTTCACCATTAAATGGGTTGACAGCTGACGAGGTCATCATTGTCAAAGAATCTGCTGGAAGCTTCACGCTTCCAGCCAGGGGAGCGCCGGGCGACACTGCGCGGTGCCCTTCCCTGCGGACGCTCCAGCGCGGCCCGTGCGCCAGGCTAGAGCCGCGGGGAAGGAGGCCCCGCAGGCCGAGGCGCCTCTCCCCGCGCCCCAGCTGTGTCTGGAGGAGGAGGGCCCACGGGGCACGCCTTGAGGACTAGCTGTCCGGGAGCTGGAGAGGCCAGCACAGTCTCTGGGGAGGCTGACCCCACCCCGTGCTGGCGAGTGATTCTGGGCCCCCAGCGCCCCGTCCCGGTTCCTTCTCTCCCATAGAGGCCCCCTGCCCCCTTGGGCCCCATCCCACAGGCGCCCGCAGAGTCCAGGGTGCAGCGTGTGGTTTCCGTAACACGCAGACCCCAGCCCGCGTGGGAGCCAGGGGCTCTTTCTCTGCTCCTGGGCCTGGAAGTCCATGTTCAGTGAGTCCAGTGGCTGCTGCCAGGTTCAGTGGACACTGGCCCTCGTGGGGGACAGGACAGCTGCCCTCCGCCGTGGGCGGCACGCCCTGCCACCTTGGCCCCCCCCACGCCTGGTCTCTGGGCACTGGGAGAGGTGGCTCGCGTGGGCGTGGGCGACAGTGCGGTCTGCTCAGGGCCTGGTGGCGGCTCTGGCCTCGGCCTGCTTGGGTGGGTCTTTCCAGGGGTCACCGGGCTTTGCTTTTCTGCGTAGGGCCCTCAGGGTGTTCCGGGGCTGATGGGCCACCCAGGAGCCAAGGGAGAGCCCGGCGAGATCTACTTTGACATAAGCCTCAAGGGGGACAAGGGAGACCCCGGCTTCCCGGGACAGCCTGGCATGCCCGGCCGGGCAGGCACCCCAGGACGAGACGGCCTCAGCGGACTGCCCGGCCCCAAGGGCTCCCCGGTACGTGGCTTCTCCTCAGTGCGCTGGGGGCAATTGCGGGGGAGCTGGCCTCCTGCTCGTGGGCCCCTGAGCCCACCACGGGGTGATAGCCGGGGACCGGAAGACCCAGCGTGGGAGGGAGGGGAGGTGTAACGTGAGTGGCGTCAAGATTTTGTTTAGAAGATTCCGGTCTGGAGACCTCGCCCTGGGGGGGCTCCCCAGGCAGGCAGGGCCGGACGAGCTCCGGGGAGGGGTGCTGGGATCCCCCCGCGGTGACCCGGGCTGAGGGGAGGTCGGCAGCCAGCAGGGCGGCTGGACTCGGCTCTCCTCGCCGGCGCTGGAGCGCGGCGGGCGTGTGCGTGATGGGCTGCCGTGCTTGCTCCACCGCAGGGCTCCGTGGGACCGAAGGGAGAGCGTGGACCCCCCGGAGGCGTGGGGTTCCCTGGCAGTCGTGGTGACATCGGCCCCCCTGGGCCTCCGGGCTTTGGCCCCATCGGCCCCGTTGGCGACAAAGGACACGCGGGCTTCCCGGGAAGCCCCGGCTCCCCAGGCCAGCCAGGTGAGGCCCGACACAGGCGACAGCGCCGCTCAGGAGCGGGGGGAGCCCCGGACAGGCCCTCCTGTGGGCTCTGGGCCCTGTTCCCCATGGCCGCGGCGGGCAGGGTCCGTCCTGGCCACAGGAGCGGTGGTTTTCCTTGCAGCCAGCATGTCCGTGCCAGCGAGTCGGCCTCCGGCGAGGCCCCCACAGAGCCGTTGCTCTCCCTCCATTCCTGCTCCCCGCAGGGGACAGTCTGTTGTGGCCTCTGTGTCTCTGTCCCCAGCGGTGTCCCCCTAGCCCTGCCCGCGCCTGGGCCTCCCTCGAGTCCCATGGCGTTGGCAACAGCGTCCTCACCGGGTCCGTGGCCTGGCCCCTGCGGGCCGTCCTTCCTGTTGCTGCTTGTGTCCAGCACTGTGCTGGGGGGACGAGCGTGTGGTCAGCGAGACGCCGGCTCTGCCCCCAGCACTCCCAACCCCCCACTGCCATCGTGGGGGTGACGAGGGGCAGGCTTGGGGCGCCTCTGGCCCCCATAACTCATGAGCCGGCTGTGACTCAGGATGGAGCTGGGCGTTCGCACCTCCCCGGGGGCCCCGGGATGGCAGAGTAGAGGCCGGGCGGCCCCGAGGGTAGGAGGGCGTCCACCCCGAGGAAGGTCTCAGAAGCTGTGGAGACAGAGGGAGACTTGGCGACGAGGGGGCTGGGCTGCAGACCTGGGGGGCAGAGAGGAGGCTCCACTGGGCCCGGCTCCCACGTCTGGCCCGCGTGGCTTCACGAGCCCCCGTGGGGACCTGCATCCCCCGTCAGGACGAGGAGGTCAGGAGCCGCCGTCAGGGCGGACGCTGCTGTTCCGGTGGCGCCCCCTGTGCTGCAGTGGCCATCCTCATGGGTGGGCGGCGGGACTCCTGGTCAATTAGCTCCAAGCCGGGCCCCCGGGTGGCTGTTCTTCGTCCAGCAACATCCCACATGGCGACTGTGACGGCACATTCAGGGACAGGGGAGCCCGGCCAGCCCGGCCGTCCAGCGGTGCAGGTGGTGGGAGCCTGCCAGGCCGTGACGAGGAGAGACTCCCTTCTTGGCCAGAAACTGCCACCCAGACCCAGCTGGGGTTGCCCACAGGCAGCCTGGCAGGAGGGAGGGAGAAGCTTCTGGAAGGAGGAGAGCTGGCAGTGCTGCTGACCGGTGCCCAGGTTCTGCAGAGGCCCTTGGTCTCAGACCCAGGCGGCTGATCAGGACCCCGCGGCCCCCCAGGATTCTGGGGGCCGGGGTGGGGGCAGACGAGGCTGCCGTCCAGGTAGCGAGCTGGGCAGCTCTCACGCGGTCCCGGCTCTTTTGCGCAGGTCCCAAGGGTGAAGCAGGACAAACTGTCCCTCTACCTGGCCCCCCTGGAGCAGAAGGACGTCCAGGCTCCCCGGGTTTCCAAGGACCGCAAGGTACTGGCCGCGTCCGGTCCACGGGAGGTGCAGTGGAATGTTCCCACGTGAGCTCACGCTGGCCTTGGTCTGTTCACCACAGGTGACCGCGGCTTTCCTGGGACCCCAGGACGGCCGGGCCTCCCGGGAGAGAAGGGCGCCGCCGGGCAGCCTGGCGTTGGGTTTCCCGGGCCTCCGGGCCCCAAAGGTAAGCCTGCCGGACACACCCACGGAGCGGGGCCAGGGCTGCGGCCATGCCCCGACCCCTGCGGGTCAACACCAAGGGCCCATCCTTGGGTCTCACTCAGTGCTATGGAGAAAGGAGCAGCCCACAAGCTAGCGCCGGGCGGGGGGCCGGGCTGCAGGTCCTGGGCACCAGGGCCTCCCCGCAGAGGTTCTCCCTGGTAGTAGTGGGGACTGTGGGGCCTGGACACTGGCCCTGGAGGGGCTCACCCTCCTCAGAGGAGACACCTCCTGTCACACGGGGTCCACACCCACGCCTGCCCGTGCACCCTGGAGCTGTGAGGGCAGCGGGCAGGGTCAGGAAGCCCCTGCGCTCTGGGAACCAGGCATGTCTGACGCCCCCAGGGCCTGCAGCGTGGCGTGGCCTTGGAGAACCAGGAGCCTCCAGGGGCTTGCTTAGACGCGGGCCGGCAAGGCGGGTGGGCTTCGGGCCTGGGCGCCCCGCGGGGACTCTCCAGCACGGTCCTCACTGAGCTGACGGGAGTGGGGGGCACAGAGGTGGGAGGTGAGGGGGGACCACTAGGTGGGGCGGGCTGGGGCCGCCTCTGCGTCCTCCTGAGGCCAGGCCCAGCTGGCGGCCCTAAAGCAGGAGGTGGGAGTCCCATGACCACAGTGGCTTGTCCCCGCTGTCCCAACAGGTGTGGATGGCTTACCCGGAGAGATGGGGCCTCCTGGCAGTCCAGGTCGCCAGGGATTCAACGGCTTACCTGGCAGCCCAGGTGTGCCGGGCCAGAAGGTGAGTGCCCTCGGGAAGGCAGCCTCCAGCCTGGGCTCTAGTGGGTGCGGGCCCCGCACCCCTTAGCGGGCGTCAGCTGTCACGGCCCCGCCTGCGCTGTCGGCCACGGAGCTGCTCCTGGGGGCACAGGCACGGAGGACAGGAGCCCCGGGCTTCTGCTGCGCCCTTGGGGGAGCCGTCAGCTGATGGGGCGGACTTTGGAAAAGGGAAACAGTGGCATCAGCCACCTTCGGGCGAGCAGTGGGGTGGGGAGCAGGGAGCAGGCCCAGCCGCCCACTGGCCTCGTGCGCAGGCCTCTGGCCGGGGCCCTTCATGCGTGTGAGGTGGTCACGGCCCTGCTGGTGACCCTCTTCCCTGTCCTGGGTTTCAGGGAGAGCCTGGCATCGGACAGCCAGGGCTGAAAGGGTTGCCCGGACTTCCTGGCATCCCCGGCACCCCCGGGGAGAAGGGAAGCATTGGGGGACCAGGCATTCCTGGGGAGCACGGCGCTATCGGCCCCCCTGGCCTTCAGGGAAGCAGAGGTACTACCCCACGAGCCGCTGGGGCTGGGGCTGGGGCTGGGGCCGGGGCCGGTACTGGGAGTGGGGCTGGGGCCGGGACTGGGGTCCTGTCCTGGCTGAGTGCATGCTGAGAACTGGGGGAGCGGGCAGCCTTCTGTTCTGCTTGCTCACGGGGGTGTCGGGGACATACACTCCCCATGGTGTTTAGTCACCTCCTCCTCCGCATCCAGGTGACCCCGGACCTCCTGGAGCGCCAGGTCCCAAAGGAGCTCCTGGAGTCCCCGGAATAGGCCCCCCCGGAGCGATGGGCCCCCCTGGAGGGCAGGGGCCGCCAGGATCCTCAGGTGACGAGCCCTTCTCGGATGGTCTCCTCCCTGCTGCCCTGGTGTTGGGGGGGAGAGCAGGCGTCCCGGTGGGGGCGAGCTCTGCCTGGGCCTCCCCGCCGCCTGTTCAGCCCCGTCTGCCTCGGGTGGCCGGACCCCGGGCTCACTGTCGGCCGCAGGGGCCACTGTGGGTCCCTCGCAGGGAGTCCCCAGGCACAGCCTCCTGGCCGGCGACTCCAGAACTGGTGGCAGGTGGGGGCAGGACGTCCTGAGGGGCGTGTGCCGGGACAAGGGTGCTCGGCCCCGTTCCCGTGGGCAGAGAGCCTGGGCCAGCCACGGCGGGCGGGTGGGGCTGGGCGGGACGGTCACACTCCCAGACGCTGCACCGAGGCCCAGGGGGCAGGTCACCTCCTCTCTGCCACCTTCACGCACCCCAGGCCCAGTGCACGCTGGGGCCTCCGCTCCACTGACGGTGTCCCCTCCCCAGGTCCCCCCGGAGTGAAAGGAGAGAAGGGCTTCCCTGGATTCCCGGGCCTGGACATGCCCGGCCCCAAAGGAGACAAGGGCACTCAGGGGCTCCCCGGCCTCACGGGGCAGTCGGGGCTCCCGGGCCTTCCTGGACAGCAGGGCACGCCCGGGCTGCCCGGCTTCCCAGGTCAGTGGGCTGTGGCCAGGGGGTGGGGAGGGGGCGGGGGCCGCGGCCTGGACTGGTGTCAGCTTCCCTGCCCTTCCGTTTGGCCACAGGTCCCAAGGGCGAAATGGGCGTCATGGGGACCCCAGGGCAGCCTGGCTCGCCAGGACCTGCAGGCACCCCAGGATTGCCAGGCGAAAAAGGTAGGAGCCGCCGGCGGCAGAGGAACCCCTCGTGTGTCTCGTGAATTCCGGAAACTTCCTGGCCGTGGCCCGGGGCTTCCGCGTGACGGGACACGCCGCCGAGCCCTTTCTGGACGGCTTCCCCCGCGCGGCGCCGGCTGCAGGCCCGGCTCACCGCACCTCTCCCCCCGCAGGGGACCTCGGCTTCCCCGGCTCCTCCGGGCCCAGGGGAGACCCTGGCTTCAAAGGCGATAAAGGCGACGTCGGGCTCCCGGGCATACCCGGGTCCATGGACAAAGTGGACATGGGCAGCATGAAGGGGCAGAAGGGGGACCAGGGAGAGAAAGGTACGGGGTGCTGACGCGGGGTCAGGCGGGCAGCTGTTCTCCACGCCAGACCCCCGGCGTTTCCACGGGTTTGCCTGGTTCTAAGGCGACGTGGCCACGGGGCTCGCTCTCTGATTCGTAGGACAAATTGGACCCACCGGAGATAAAGGATCCCGGGGCGACCCGGGGACCCCAGGCGTGCCGGGGAAGGACGGCCAGGCGGGGCACCCTGGCCAGCCAGGTACCGCGTGGGCGTCAGCGTCGCGGGCAGGGCTCGCGCTGGGGCCGGGCTCCGTGCTTCCCGGACTCACCGCCGCGCGTGTCTGTCGTCCCAGGACCTAAAGGTGACCCGGGCATAGGCGGGACCCCAGGTGCGCCGGGGCTGCCTGGACCGAAAGGCTCGATTGGCGGCATGGGCATGCCAGGTGCGTGGGTGCGGAAGGGCCCGGCGCGGGTGCTGGGTGGCGGCGGAGCGGGCAGGTGCTGGGGACGCCACCGGCAGCGGGTCCCCTGGCCGAGCGAGGGCCCATAGAGACAGGCCGGCGCCTCCGTCTCGGCTGCTGGGAGGTGCGTGTGTGGAAGAGCAGCTCCCGCATCATGCATCCTCCTGTCGCCTGTTCGTAGGAACCCCTGGAGAGAAGGGGGTGCCTGGGATCCCCGGCCCGCAGGGCATCCCTGGCTTGCCCGGAGAGAAGGGCACCAAAGGAGAGAAGGGGCAGGCGGGGATACCCGGCACTGGGATCCCCGGACGGCCCGGCGACAAGGTGAGAGCCCCGGCGGGGACCCCCGACGCATGTCCGCATGGGGTGCTGCACGCAGACCAGTGCATCTCGCTGGACGTAGAGTGACCAACCCCCGCCCTGGGGGCTCCTGGGGCCTGGTGGGGGGGGCACTGGCTCCGAGAACCAGAGGGGGGCGGGACAGGGAGCCCCAGCTCCGCGCCGTTCCCTGGCGTCCGGCGTCCACGCCCGAGGTGGGCTCGGAGCGGGTGGGAAGCTGGGGTCTCACGCCGTGTGCACAGCTCCAGACGGCGCCTGCTCCGGGGGCGCCGGGAGCCGGTGGACAGCTCACGGCCTGATTTTCACTCACAGGGAGACCAAGGCCTGGCAGGCTTCCCCGGAACCCCGGGACAGAAGGGGGAGAAGGGCAGCGCCGGGATCCCAGGGATTCCGGGGTCCCCCGGCCCCAAAGGCTTGCCCGGGAGTGTCGGCTATCCAGGTAGGCGGCCAGCCCCCTGGCTTGGGGTGCAGACACGCAACGAGCAGCGCAGCTGACCGCGTGTGGTGTCTGCTGTCTCTTCAGGAAGCCCGGGGCTGCCCGGGGAGAAAGGCGACAAAGGCCTCCCGGGGCTGGACGGCATCCCTGGCGTCAAGGGCGAAGCAGGTACAGGCCCCTCCTCAGACCCAGGCGGCCCAGGGCAGAGGCCAAGGGGCAGGCGCTGGAGCTCCGGGGCTTCCTCCCCGGACTGGTCTGGGACCCGCTGTGTGAGCAGAGCCCCCCGGGCCTGCCTGCCCCCCTCCCCGTCCCAGGACCCAGCTGAGTCCAGGGGGCTTGTGGGCCCTTCTGGGGTCTGGCCACGCATTAGGATAGAGCCCACGTTTCTGCGCTGACCTAGATGTAGACTGTTCTGTCCACTCTCGTCTGCTCTCGTGGGGGTCCCTGGGGGTGGGAGTGGTGTGGGGCGTCCCTGCTGCAGACTGGCGGGTCCCTGGGGAGGTCGGGCTGCAGGTGTGCTCCCTGGAGGAGGGTCTGGGAGGCAGCCAGGCTGGGGAGCGGCGTTGACCGAGTGCTGGCCTTTCTCTTCAAGGTCTCCCTGGGCAGCCTGGCTCTGTGGGCCCAGCCGGTCAGAAGGGGGAGCCGGGCAGCGATGGCATCCCGGGCTCGGCGGGGGAGAAGGGCGAGCCAGGTACGTGCAGGCCTCGCATGGGCGTCCCCCGGTGTGCACGGCCTGTGTGGGGCACCGGTGCCGGGGCCCATGCCGCTGTCGTGCGGCTCAGAGACGCGGGGACACCGCACGGCGCCCAGGGCAGGGGTCCGTCACCCTGCATGTGCGCCAGGAGCCCGCGGAAACCCCGAGCCCCTCCCTCCGCTGCCCGGGTTCCTGCTCCACGGCGCTGGCCCCGAGTCCAGCCCCACCTGGGCGGACGCGCTCCTGTCAGCCCTGCTGTGCCGGACACAAGCCGGAGTCCTCTGGGGGAGAGAGGTTCACACGCACGCGTGCAGACACGCCCACACCCCCACGCGCGCGCGCACACAGGCACAGTTTGACACAGGTGGTGGGTCCGGTGGGGTGCACCGGTGGGGCACACGGAGGGAGGCTCCTGGAGAGGCGGCCGGGGGTCTCGGCTCAGTGCGTCTCCACGCCAGCCCCTTGTCTTCACATCACGTGCGCGCCCTTCCCGGTGAAGCGCCGCGAGAAATGCCGCCGCACCTGCTCCCCGTTTGCTCTCCCCTCGCGCCCTCCACATGTGTCCGGGGCCCCTCGCTGGCTGCTGCCCCGATGTCCTCCCGAAGCAGCCGCTGGTGGCCCTGCTCTCAGGGGAGCCGGCTCGGCAGTCCTGGCGGCGGACGCGAGGGCTCCTTGTCGGCCGGCTCTGCTCTCGGTTCTGGGCTGTGGTCCTCAGGAAAAACTGAAGTGCACCTGCCGGGGCCCAGACCGGCTGCGGGGCCCTTCTTGCCCCCAAGACGCAGAGAAGTTTCTGCGGGTCCCACAGCCGTGCCGGCGGCCGGAGCGGACGCAGCCTCGCTCCACGCCTGCCGGCGCCGGTCAGGGGGTGACACTGGTCCTGCGCTGCTCTCCTAGGTCCCCCCGGAAGAGGACTGCCCGGGTTCCCTGGCAGCAAAGGAGAGAAAGGTAAGGCTGGCTCAGCCTCTTCTTGCTTTCCCACAACCACGGCGCTCTCGGTGCCGGGAACGGGGGGATCCGTCAGGAGGGTGCGGCTCGTTTGGGGACGGACACTGGGTCTGTGACCACCCAACCCACACTTGGCACTGCCCACGCAGCCCCGCGCGGGGCCCTGCACGGCCTGTGAGGAGGCTGGGACCAGCCCCTGGCCACGGCCCAATGGCCCTTCCAGACCTGTCGGGTCCCTTCTTGTTTCCTCAGACAGCCTTGCAGCCCCCAGACCCGCTGTCTCGCAGCGTGGGGGTGGGGTGCGCGGCCTGCAGGGTGCTCTCCTGCGCACTTTCAAGCCAGCAGGAAGGTTTTTGTTGCAGCATCAAGTTACAAAGCTGCGCAGACCGGTCGTCTTACTATGAGTTTACAGCCACCTGCAAGGCAGCGAGCATGTCTTTGCCCCAAAAGTTCTTGGGGGGACTTGTCATCCCCCTCGTGCCCCCAGCCCGGCTCCAAGCAACCCCTGACTGTGTGCTGGCACCACAGAGTCCACCCTCTGATGTCTGCGGGGCCTGCGGCTGGTCCCCTGTGGTCTGACCGCCTCTGGGCAGTGCAGTGGCCTGTCCCCTCCTGGTCCTGCCGCGGCAACTGGGCATGGCCGCACGGCTGCTGACCACCCCCTGCGGTGGACAGGCCCTCATCTGCGGTGCGTTCGCTGCCCCCAGGCCATCCCGGCCTGGCCAGAGCACCCTCCCCAACACGGCGGCAGAGGGCTCTGTGGCTGGGGCGCACGCACCGGCGGGCTGTTCAGCCAGGAGCAGTGAGGGGCACCCGTGCGGGGTCCTCCTGGGCCGCTGAGTGTCCTCGGCGCACCCCCGCCTGTCCCTGCTGGGCCCAGCCCCTCCTCCCTGCGCGTCTCCGCCACTCACGCTGGCTTTGTTCCTAGGCTCAAAGGGCGAAGTGGGTTTCCCGGGATTGGCCGGGAGCCCCGGGATCCCTGGACCCAAAGGAGAGCAAGGATTCACGGGCCCCCCGGGGCCACAAGGACAGCCTGGGATGCCTGGAACCCCGGGCCACCCTGTGGAAGGGCCCAAAGGCGACCGGGGCCCCCAGGGCCAGCCGGGCCAGCCAGGTGAGGCAGCTCCCCAGACGGCCCCGGGCCTGGCCTCCACTGGGTGGTGACCTCCACTGGGTCATGGCTCTGCCTGTGTCCTCTCGAGGGGCTCGGCGGCCATGGCAAGCCGTTGGGGGGGCCGGGAGGGGCCTCCCTGGAGAGACTGCAGGCGGGTCCTGGTGGGCAGGCCGCCCCGCCCTGCTCTGCCACCCCCGGCCAGGCCTGAGGCTGCTGTCCGGCGCGTCCCTTTCTGGAGGTGGGCACTGGCCTCTGGACCTGCCGAGGCCTCGGGGCCAGGGCCGGGAGGGGCCCGCGCCAAGCACAGCGCCACGACACGGGCGGGAGCCCCTCTAACCTCCAGTGTGATTCTGTGTCCCTGCAGGACGTCCGGGACCTATGGGGCCCCCTGGCCTCCCAGGGCTTGATGGGCTGAAAGGTGACAAAGGAAGCCCAGGCTGGCCGGGGACCCCCGGCGCCCCAGGACCCAAGGGAGACCCCGGATTCCAGGGCATGCCTGTGAGTGGCACACGGGTCGGCGTGTGCAAAAGGGTCGCAGGATAACCGTGTGTGTGCACACCCGACCACACTCAGGCCCTCTCCAGCCCCGACCCCTCCTCGTGCACAGTCACCACCTGTGCTGGCTCCGCAGCAGGCAGCCCTCAGGGCGGGGGACAGCGAGGCCGCTGGACGTGGCGCGAGGCCGGACACGGCCTGTGGCAGCTTGTTGGGGGACGGCCTCCCCCCCCCCACCGCCCGGCCACTGTCCCTGCGGCCGGCGCGTGCCCGCTGTCCCCGCACGGGTCCCGCCGCTGAGCTGGCATGCTTGGCCGCGCGCCAACGAGGGGAGGGCTGCCGGCAGGCCCGGTGAGAGGCGCAGCTCCTGCGTCGGGACCGGCCGGGGAGAAGGGCGCGGCTGGCGGAGCAATGGGACGAGGCGCTGCTTTAGAATCCGTGGCTGTCGCTGCGCTGTGACAGAAAACGGCCCCCTAGCGCTTCCCAGCTTTCCGCACACGTGGCCGCTCCAGGGAGCACTGCGTGTCGGGGTTGGGGGGTGGGAGGCGCAGTGAGCAGGCCCTGGCTGCCCGGCAGCTGGGAGAGCAGCGGGGGGACAGGGAGAGCAGCCCCACCCAGCGCCCCTCCCCGCCGCAGAGCCTCCCCTGTCCGTGTCTGAGCGGTCCGACTGCCTGTCTCCTTGCGTCTAGGGGATCGGCGGCTCCCCAGGAATCACAGGCTCCAAGGGCGACATGGGCCCTCCCGGTGTTCCAGGATTTCAAGGTAAGGCAGTGGCGGAGACGCGACTTCCCTCCCCCGGCGCCCCTGGCAGGGCGGGCCCTTCCCTTGAAATTAAGGTCGCCTGTTCTGGGCCAGACCCAGCCCTCAGCGCGGGGCGGCCGTGCAGGGACCTCCTGGCCTTCCTCTAAGGGCCTGTGGTCATTTGCGGCTTGGTGGGCGTGGCCTCTGTCAGGTTATTGACGTGCTAAGCGGACATGCGCGGGGCCCAGCAGCCCGCAGCCCCGGCCCTTACCGCAGAGTCGGGGGTGCGTGAGCGCGGGCGTCCAGACAGCTCGGCGCGCCTGGGGCTCCACGCCGCGCCCCTGTGAGCCAGGCCTTGGCGCCCCAGCTGCCACTGGGCCGGCTGGCGCGTCTGCAAGACGTGGCTTCTGGGTTTTAGAAAGACGAGCGCCACAAATGTTTTGCACAGCCGAGCGGAAGCCGTGCTCTGCTTCCACAGCAGAAGTGGGTGCGAGGGGGGTGTGCGATGGCGAGTGTGGGGGGCAGGTACAGGGCAGGCACACACGTGTGCGCGCCCCCGTCTGTGTGTGGTGTGCGTGCCTGGGCTGTGCACGCTCCTGGGGCCGGCGGAACTCTGCAAAGACTGTCCCGCCTCCCCCAGGTCAGAAGGGTCTCCCCGGCCTTCAGGGAATCAAAGGAGACCAAGGAGATCAGGGCTTCCCCGGAAGTAAAGGTACGTGCCCGACTGGCCACCGTGGCCCTTGGATCCCCGAAGGCGGGAGCTTGGCTGCCTGGCGGGCAGAGGCCTGGGAGCGCGGCGGAGCGGGCGGGGCGTCCCCAGCTGGCTGGTCAGCGCTGCTGCCCTGGGCTGGTCTGCGCCACCCTCACCAGCACGCGCCATGGCCTCTGGGTACTGGCCCGATGATGACCTGGACTCCTTGCTCCCCTCAGGTCTTCCAGGTCCCCCGGGACCCCCAGGGCCCTACGACGTCATCAAAGGGGAGCCCGGGATCCCCGGTCCCGAGGGTCCTGCTGGTCTCAAAGGGCTTCAGGGGCCCCCCGGCCCCAAAGGACAGCAAGGTAAGAATTCGCACACTTGGGAGGGGTGGCGAGGGCGGGCCTGGGGGCTCCTCGCTCCTGAATGTGTGAAGTCGGCCTCCCTGGGGGACGGACACGTACTGGGGAGACTGCTTTTCCCTCGCGGCCAACTGGGCACCTGTTCTGAGAAGGCCCAGGCCAGCAGGACAGAGTGCAGGACACTCGGCCAGAGAGCCAGGCTGCTTGCCCGCCGGGAGACTGGGCTGGCCAGGAGACCGTCCAGAAGTGGGGGAGTCAGTGCTTGACAGTGGCCGGGGAGCTCCTGGTGGGCGGCGAGTCGGGCCCCTCCTGGTGTCCAGCCCGGTGCACCAATTCTGTTTTCCCTTTAGGTGTGACGGGGTCTGTGGGCGTACCTGGACCGCCAGGTATTCCTGGGTTCGACGGCGCCCCTGGCCAGAAGGGAGAGACGGGACCTTTTGGACCTCCTGGTGGGTTTGCTGCGTCTCCCCGCCCCCAGCCTGCCCCTGTGCTGCTCCCTCCCAGCCCTCCGCCCGCCCCTCCACCTCCGTGGGGTTTGCAGCTGCAGGCCCAGGCACCGCCTGCTGAAGGGATAGGGAATGTCCCTTAGTGGTTTCCAAAGGTGTCTGTTTCTTCGAGGGCGTGGGGCGCCCGGGAGACCTAGGGGCTGGGAATTCTGTGCCAGGAGAGGCAGAGGCTGGCAAAGCCCAGGTCCCCCAGAGGCCATTGCTCGAAGGCAGTGACACCCCAGGAGGATGGTGCTTTGCTCCGGGTTTTGGGGGGGCCTGCGGTGACCGGAAACCTCTGTCTTCCAGGGCCTCGAGGGCTGCCGGGCCCCCCCGGCCCTGAAGGGCTGCCGGGGTCCATGGGCCCCCCTGGTACCCCTTCGGTGGATCATGGCTTCCTGGTGACCAGACACAGCCAGACCACAGATGACCCACAGTGTCCCCCCGGGACCAAGGTCCTCTACCACGGCTACTCCCTGCTCTACGTGCAGGGCAACGAGCGGGCGCACGGCCAGGACTTGGGTGAGCCCCTGCGGATGCGCGCTCCTGGCACAGACTGGCCTCTGCCCGGGACCTGGCGCCTCCCGGTCCTGTCTGTCCTCACCAAAGGCGCCTCTGCTCCCGGCGCTGTGACACTCATGGGAGCCGAGGACGTGCAGGGGCTGTTCTGGGGACAGATCATTCTACAAGGAAGGTCTCCTGCCTAGCAACTTCCCAACGGGTGATGTGGAGTTACTGACACACTCCCTTGTTCTCCGACCGGAAGCCTGTGCCCGTGTCCACGTCCCGCCTCGCCCAGCTCCACCTCGGGTCACCGCCACCTGCTCTGTGCCCATGCACGTTCTCTTGTTCAGACTCCACACAAGTGAAACGCACGTGCTTGTCCTTGACTTGGCTCACGTAGTGGCTGCGGCGCCCTCGGGGCCCGTCCACATCTGTGCTGTGGCAAGTGGCAAAATTTCGTTCTTTGTTACGGTTGAGTCATGGTCCCCCGTAGGTGACGCTCCCCTCACGCTCGTCTCTCCCCCGCTGGTGGACTCAGGAGTCTCATGTCTGGGTCGCTGCAAATGCCGCAGCAGGGAACACGGGGGTGTGGAGTCAATTTTCAAGTCAGTGTTTCCATTTTCTCCCAACAAGCACCCAGCAGTGGGGGTGCTGGACCATACGGCAGCTTTATCTTTGCGTTTTCGTGAGGACCCCTATCCTGTTTCCATGTTGACTGCACCAATTTACATGCCCCCCACAATAATCCCCAAGTCTTCTTTCTCCGCTTCCTCACCAGCCCTTCGCAGCTCGTGTCTTTTGGATGTGGCCCCCCCAGTGCCACGGGCTGAGCTGGCACCTCACCGTGCTTGGGGCGTGACGGGAGCTCCTTCTCCCGTGCCCGGCGGCCACTGTATGTCTTGGGAAGGACGCGTCTTCCCAGCTTTTGACTGGGTTTCTTGGGTTGCTTTGGTTTTTGCTACTGAGTCGCAGGCGGTCTCTGTGGATTTTGGGGATCAGCCCCTCGTCAGGCAGACGGTTTGTGAATTTCTTCCCTCTCTCCATTTTGTGCCCTGCGTCCTCTGCCTGCGGGCGCTTGGCCAGGGGGTGCAATCCCATTTGTTTATTTTGCTTTTGGTGGCAGATTGAAAAAATTTAAATTCACAACACTGACCTTCAGGGGATCAAGTCGGGTCAAGATTTCGGGGGTGCACATTTAACGTTTTCTTTAAAACTGTCCGTCTCACACCTCCCGGTGTTCCTCTGGGCGCGCTAGCTCTGTGCCTCTCAGTCAGGTTGGCAGGAGCTGCTGGTCACCTGTCACCCTCCACGTCACCTGCCACCCTCCACGTGTCCACCACCAAATCACGCTTCCGTGTCATGTCCCTCCAGCGCGGCCTGAGGCTGGGAGCCAGCGGCTGTAGGGATTTCGATTTTCAGCAAAACGATGATTAAAGATTGTCAGTGAGAGACTGTGTACTGGTCACGAGCCAGCTGTTGAGTTCCTTCAGGAATCCAGTCCAGGAAGAGGCTTCCTCTGCCGACAAACCGCCCTGTTCCCTTGGAGCAGATCCGGCCCGTGCAGTTCTGTGTCGCGCCCACTGCTCCGCCCCTCAGGGCCACGGCCTTGCCCCCCTGCGGCGTGCGGTCCATCTGCTTTACCCCTTCTCTCTGCTCTTCTTAGAGAACATTTCTCTCTCCCTCCTGGGGTGCGCTGGGGGCTGTCTTTCCCGCCCGCTGTGCACGGAGCGAAGCGCGGGGTGACGGGCGCCCTGTGCTTGCAGGCACGGCCGGCAGCTGTCTGCGCAAGTTCAGCACCATGCCCTTCCTCTTCTGCAACATCAACAACGTCTGCAACTTCGCCTCCCGGAACGACTACTCCTACTGGCTGTCCACGCCTGAGCCCATGCCCATGTCCATGGCGCCCATCTCGGGCGACAGTATCAGGCCCTTCATCAGCAGGTGGGTCTGCGCCGCGGCAGGTCCTTGGCCACCCAGCCTCCCGGCCTGGGCGGGGGAGATTCTTGTGTGTTTGTCCCCCCCACCCGACATTTAATCCATTGCCATGCAGGTATTAATTTTATTTTATTTTATTTATTTATTTTTTTAAGATTTATTTATTTATTTATTTATACAAGAACCGGGGTACAGGCTAGATGCGTGGGAGGGTGAGAGGATTCACCAGACATAGAGCGGGGAGCAGAACAGGCAGAGTGACGAAATACACGGCTGAGGGGAGCAGCGGGCGCGACAGGAGAGGTCTGCAGCGCCATGTGGGATTCTCGCCAGCCGGCAGGGATCCAACCGGCGCTGCAGAGGCTGCGGGCAGCTTCACAGCGCGGCGCTCAACCGCCTGCGCCACCAGGGGAGGCCCTAATTTTAATATGAGTTCTGGGATAGAAATCAACCACGCGTGTTATTTTAAAAAGCGAGTCCTCCCCGACCACCCGGGGTGGGGGAGGCTGAGCTGACTCCCACCCCTTGCTTTCCTCTGAAGGGGCGAAGCTGGCAGGTTCTCCGCTCTCGCCCCCAGAGCTGGCCCAGCGGTTCCTAGGCAGGCTGGGCTTCCCGCGCACAGGAGGCCCTGGCCAGCAGCCACGTGTCACCACTTTGGCTGCGAACCCTTGGCTGAGCTGAGCGTGGGCCCTGGTTCTTCACCAGGAACCGCAGCCACGCTCCCCTCACATGCGCCGGCCAGCGCTGCCCCTGCAGGCCTGACCCCTAGGCCCAGGGCGCCTGGGCCAGCACCTTACCCATGTCCCGCAGATGGGGTGGGGGGTGGGGCGGTGAGAGGCCAGCTGCAAAGCTGCGTTCAGAGCAGTCACCTGTCACCCCCGCCCCTCCATGTTACAACTCAGCCTTCCGATTTTCTCCCAAAGGAAACAAACTCTCCTGGGTAGTTAAATAGCAAGTGTCGGGTTTTGAATTTAATATTTTAACACTGACGTGACTTATAAAACCAGCGAGGGGCCTCTAAGCCTGCGTCCACCGGTGGGCAGTGTCCGCTGAACATAGAGCGGAATCTGAGACTGAGTGGAGAGACGGCGGCCAGACGGGGGAGGCCGGGGGTGGGCAGCACGCTGAGTGTCCTCTGCCCCAGGTGTGTGGTGTGCGAGGCTCCAGCCATGGTGATGGCCGTGCACAGCCAGACCATCCAGATCCCGCCGTGCCCCAACGGGTGGTCCTCACTGTGGATCGGCTATTCCTTCGTGATGGTGAGTCTCGGGACTCGCACTCCCTCGTTGTCTGGATCACATGGCCCAGCCCCTGACCGCCCCCCCACACCGCCCTGCTGACCTGTCCATGCTGCCTGGGGCCTGGGTGGCTCCACTGGGGCCTCAGTGGTTGCAGTGCTGGCCAAAAGCCCCTAGGCCGGAGTTCTGGGACCAGGTAGCTGGGACCCGCTGGAGAAGCCAGAGTCTCCCCCTGGAGCGGAGGGCAGGGTGTACTTGGAGGGCCATTATTACCTGATAAAATGACCCAGAGCACCCAGGGCACCCCGGACTGGACAGTCCTGCTCCGTGTTGCATAGAAAGTCTGGGTTCAGCCTTGGTCCAGCCTCATCCATGGGGCTGGGGCAGGGCAGCTGGCGGGCCCTTCCCTGGCCACAGCAGGAGGCAGGAACAGCCGGCCCCTCCCTGGGGGCCTCTGACTCCTGCTCCCTTCACTCCACAGCACACCAGCGCCGGTGCTGAAGGCTCTGGACAAGCGCTCGCGTCCCCAGGGTCCTGCTTGGAGGAGTTCAGAAGCGCGCCCTTCATTGAGTGCCACGGCCGGGGCACGTGCAACTACTACGCCAACGCTTACAGCTTCTGGCTCGCCACCATCGAGAGGAACGAGATGTTCAAGTAAGTGTCCACCCCGGGGGCCCGCCCCGCCCTCCGTGGGCCTCCTGCCCGTGGCTGAGGCGGCCAGAAGCAGGCCCCAGGGAGGCCTCCCCACGGCTCTGGTGCGCAGCCACTCTGCAGTGGATGGCGCGGGCTGAGGCCGGCGGCTGGTAGTGACAGCCTGTTCTTCACACGCCGGGGAGCAGGGCAGGATGGGGTCACTTTCCCTTTCCTAGGCGAAGCCACCGAAATGCCACGGAAGCCATTAAAACCTGCATGCGGAGCACGCGGCGCTCACCCTCCTGGCGGGCGCGAGGGGTGGGCGGTGTCACGTCACAAACTGGGCCAGGACTGCCCTGCAGGCAGCGGGAAGGAGGGAGTCGAGGGGGCGCCTGCTGTGCCTTTCCTTTTCCTCCCACAATTCCATCTGGAACGCGCTCCCGCCCGGCCTGCTGAGGCTCCGGCCGGGCACTGGGAGGCGTCTCTAGCCCCCGCGCCTGCGCGCTCCCGGGTGAGCCTTTCTGCCTGACCTCTTCGGACAGAGTTTTGTGGGCTTCTGAGCATCTTTAACTTAAGGCACTAAAGGGAAGCGATGTGCCCGCTGCGCCGGTTCCCTAAGCCCCAGCACGCCCCGTGCCCCTTGGGCCGCAGGAGGCTCCCGGGAGCTGGGGACCCGGCTCCACTCTGCAGAGAGCAAGTCACCGGCGCTTCACTGCACCTCACGTGCTGCCCCGGGGGCTCCCGCTCCAGGATTAATAGGGTTTTTTTTAAATGGTCTTTTTTGGAGGCACAGCCAGGAAGGTGAACTGAAATGCCTTCTTCGCCAACCTGGTCGCATCCCAGTAGCTTAACCAGTTACTTGGGCAGAAGTAGGGTTGTCGCAAGAAGCTAGAGGAAGCGGCTGCAGTTTTGGGACAGGGTTCTTAGGATGTGGCCCCTTCAATTTTAATAGAATTTAGTCAGCACTGACTTTGGGTGAGACTCCCCTTCCCAGCAGTCAAAACAAGGCAGCATTTTAGGGCCAGGGATGCATTTCAGGGAGGTAGTGTCTCGTCTCTTTCTCTTTTTTTTTAATAAGATTTATTTATTTATACAAGAGTTGGGGTGCAGACCAGAGGTGTGGAGGGTGAGAGGATTCTCCAGAGACAGAGTGGGGAGCAGAACAGGCAGATCTACTGAAATGCACTGCTGAGGCGAGCAGTGGGCGAGACAGGAACGTCTGCTGCACCATGTGGGTTTCTCCCTGGCTGGCCGGGATGGAACCCGCGCTGCAGAGGCTGTGGACAGCTTCACAGGGCTGCGCTCAACCACCTGCACCACTGAGGAGGCCCATCTAGTCTCTCTTGGCCCCTCAGACCTCCAGCATATAAATCCTCCAAAAGTTGTCCCAGCGCTTCTGAGGCCTAGTTAGTTATTCCAGATTTCCTGTCATAGCATCACTCAGCACGTGCACGCGCACCGCGTGCTTGAAGTGTGTGGCGAGGCTTACGACCTTCCCCGGGGCTGTCATGGAGTTGTGAGAAGGAGGTTGAGCGCTGGGTGCTGTGGGGAGCGTCTGAAGCTGGAGTCACAGAAGGCCTCTCGGGTGGTGCCCTCCCTCCCTGTGCCCCCAGGCACAGGGGGCAGCCTGCAGGCGGGGTCCCCAGCCTGCGCCCACTGAGTCAGTGGCGTGGGCTCTGTCTAGCTAGGGGTGGCCCTATCCGGCTGGTCCCTGAGCCCCAGTGACCCCTGGGTGGGTCTCTTGCGTTGCAGGAAGCCCACGCCGTCCACCTTGAAGGCTGGGGAGCTGCGTACCCATGTCAGCCGCTGTCAAGTGTGCATGAGAAGGACATAAGGAAGCCGGCTCTCCGCGCTCGTCACAACATGGTGCTATTCCTTCTTCCCTTCTTCTTCTTTTTAACAGCAACAAACCCTAGAAATATATCCTGTGTACCTCACTGTCCAGTATGAACCCATAAAGTGCCTTATAGGAATTTGCGTAACTAACACACCTGCTTCGTTGCCTCTTCTTGCTGAAGGACAGAGACAGAGATAAGCTTCCCATAGTGGCGTAGCAAATGGCACTTTTGATGAAATAAAAATCTGAGTCTATTCTACATCCGGTGCGCTGATGTGTAGCGTGAGAACTCCATCAGAAACCAAGGGTGCTAGGAGGAGTTTGGGGCCTTCCGTTCTGTGGACCGCCGTTCCCACTCTTGTACCACCCCAAATGCATTGTTTGTTTATATCACTGTCTGGCTGTTTCACAATTTGGGTCCCTGTACAGGTAACAGTCATGTAAAAAATGGTGTTTGAACCTCCAAATGGAGAGGGCCAGCCGCCCTCCCGTTCAACTCCCCAATATAAATTGAGGTCTTCGTGCTGTGTGTGGTACTATGCGGCTGCTTTTGCAGAAATCACAAATTTACCGTGGGATAAAGATGGTCCAAATGTAGGCAGAAATTAAATATATATATATTTTAGTAATTTATATAGATGTCAGCAATTAGGTCAAGTTTTAGTTTCATGTCCACTGTTGAAATAAAGCTTCCACAGGTCCTTCCTTTCAAAGGCGGTCGTGTCCCCGTGTCGGCCGACGCCGGCGGCCGATGTGAGGCTTCCGTTTCCATGGCTCACCTCCAAACCAAACATTGTGTGCTGCCAAAACCAGACCCAGGTGCATGGATGTGGTGTCTAGTCTAGGAATCATGGACCTGGAGTTGACTGTTTTTATTCTGTATTAAATATCTTCAGGGTTTTAAACACTAATCACAAACTGAATGACTTGACTTCAAAAGCAACATCCTTGAAAGGCCTTCATTTGATTAGGATTCCTCATTCCTTGCGGCGTGGGAAGCCGCTCTCTCCTTCCAGAGGCCAGGCCTTTTCCGCACCTGCGCAGGGCGCATCCTGGGTCTCCCTGGAGCTGTGTCCAGGCTTCGGCAGGGACAGCAGAATCGGACCGCAATGCCTGAAATGACATTTCCCTCAAAGTCTCCAAAAGCATTTTTAAGACTACTAAGGCCTTCTGTGTAATTTCTTTAAATGTGTATTTCTTGAAAATTCAAATTTGTAATAAAACTATTTGTATAAAAATTAAGCTTTTATGAATTTGTCACTAGTATTGCCAGAGACATTAAAACAAAGTTACTGCACAAGCCCCTAATAAATGTGTACGCTTTGCACACTTAGATCATATTCATTTTGCACTTCTTCCAAACGAGAGTCATAGACGGGGGGTGATTCACAGGAATCACTACAGAGAAAGACTGGTCTGCTCCCCCCTCCCTCCCTCCCTCTCGGTCCATTCAAGCAGCCGTCCACCATCCGTCCACCCAGCCATCCACCCACCCACCCACCCACCTTCTGTCCATCATCCACCCATGGGATACATAAAGAGGATTCGCGCTTTTCAGGAATAAGACGAGCAGCGGGGAATACCACACACGGCCAGCCCTGAGCGGTGAGCCCAGCGGGTCAGAACTGGGACTGCAGGTGTGTGAAGGTGGCCGAGGGGCAGGGGTGTGAACTCCAAGTCTTAAAGTGGCAAAGAAATCACACGGCGGGTTCTGTGCCCTGCTGACCTGAGCTTCAGTTTAAGCTCCAGGCACGATCCTGGAGAATGAGGGGGCACCGTGTCCTCACAGAGGCAAGCGGCCGTGGGGATGGCAGTGTCTGGGGCTGTTGGCGAGGCGGAGCTGCGCTGAGGACGGCCCGGCACCGCCCGCCTATCAGGGACACAGTCCTCTCCTCTCCGCGCTCTGAAAAAAAGTTGGGGGGAAAAGGCAGGACAGGAGCCGAGAGAGAAGTGGTCCGGTCTCCCCTGGCCGGCGTGCGTCGGGACCTGGTCTCCCCCGGTCTCTAAAGCGGCTGTTATTCCCGCCGGCTTCGCTGCTGGGGAGCAGCAGGGTGGGGGAGCTGCCCGGTCTCAGGGGAGCAGGACCAGGGCGTGTGGAAGGGCGAAGCGGCGGTGTCCATGCTGACGAGGAGGGACGAGCGGCTCCACTTTGCTTGTCTTTAGCGTTTCCCACAACCCTTCCTAATCCCGAACAGTCACAGGCTCAGCTAAAGGAGGACGGGCTGGTCTGGGTCAGCGACAGGCCGCTCCCCTCCTCTCTGGAGCCCCTTGGGGTGAGGTCGTTGCCGCCGCAGGACTCTCCAGGGCCCCGCGCTGCTGTGTGGGTCCTCACCCTCCCGCCACGCGGGCCTGACCAAGCCGCACCCACCCGCGCCCGGGGCCTGGCGCCCAGGCTGTTTCCTCCGGGCAGCGCCTCCAGACCAGGGCGGCGGGCAGGAGGCCACCGGGAACGGAGAGCCGAGTCTGCCCTCAGCGTTGCTCGGCCGCCTCCTCCCTCTCCGGCTCACCGGCTCCTGCCCCTCACCAGCCATGCCGGGCGGTCAGGGGCGGCCGGGTGGGGCGTCCCGTCTTGAATAAATGTTCTTTTAAAAGGGCGCAGCGGGAGACACCTGGGACTTGTCAGTCTGCGGTGAGGCCAAGGTGGAACAGGTGGGGTGTGACCCCGGGAGCTGCCTGCTCCCGCGGCGTCTGGCAGGTTGGCTGGGAGGGAGCTCGGGGAGAGCCACGGGCGGCGCAGGCTGGGTGAGCAAGGCGCGCCCTGGCCCGGGCCGCGCCGCCCTGGACATGCTCCCCCCAGTGCCCCGGCAGCCCGCCCCGGCGCGCCTGGCCCCAGACAGGCCCCGCCCCGCCCCGCCCGCCCCGCCCCCGGGACACTCAGCCCCGCCCCGGCGCACCTGGCCCCGCACGCCCCGCCCCCAGCGCACCTGGCCCCGCACGCCCCGCCCCCCGGCGCACCTGGCCCCGCACGCCCCGCCCAGCCCCCCCGCAGCCGCCGCCTGCAGCGGCCCCGGACGGGACCCCGCCCTCCCCCAGGACTCCCGGGCCTCGGGCTGCGCCTCCTCCTGACCGCCTGGCGCAGCCGCACGTCCACTCGGGCCGCCCCTTCCGCTGAGCCCCGCGCCCGCGGCTCGGTCCTGGGCGCGGCCTCTCCAGCCCCGGCCGCGCCCCTGCGGGCTCCGGGGCAGGGACGCGCATCCTCGCCCGCCCGCAGCGAGGACGGCCTCCAGCCGCGTCAGCTCGCTGCTTCCCGCTCGCGCTCGGGGTCTCCGGTTCCGCAGCCTCCCTGCGGGTTCGGTGGGAAGAAGTGGGGCGTCCGTGGGCACCAGCAGAACCCGCCGACGCCGCCCTCCCGTCCCGAGGCCCCGCCGCGGGGCAGACAGACCCGCGGCCCCCGCCCGGCCTTCCTGGGGTGGTAAGCCCGGACAGGTGGGCTTTGCGGGGAAACATACTGACAGCGACCCCCAAACCTCGAGCCCCCCTTCCCCACCAGCCCCATCTGGGACCAGCAGCGACGGGACGTGCCTCTCCAGCCCCGCAGCCTCTTCCAGCTGCCGCCACTCTGGAGCGCGCTCGCCTCCTGCCCGGCCCTGGCTCCTCCCGGCTCCTCCCGGCTCCCGGGCGCAGAGGCACCTGGTGGCGCGGGCACCCACGCATCGCCAGGTCACCCCACGCGGCCTGCTCCTCTCAGAACAGGCTTCGAAGTGATTCGCACCCTGAGGCCTTCCCTTCCTGGCTGCATCCTGCCGCCCTCCCGGCCTAACTCTCTCCAGGACCGAAGGCCGCGGCCGCCAGGGGCCTGGGGAGGCCGCCAGGGGCCTGGGGAGGCCGCCAGGGGTCTGGGGAGGCCACGGCTTCCTCCTGCCCACCTGCTTGTCAGGCCACGCAGCCTCCAGGTCGCCGCTGCCCGGGGACTCTGGGCTCCAGCACTTGCTCACCGCTCACGTGCGCGACAGGACCCGCGCGGGCTGTGGTGAGGGCTGCAGAGGGCCCCTGGCTGCGGGTGGGGCGCGCTCTGCCTCCCTGCGGGGCGCGGGGCCAGGCAGAGACAGGTCGCCTTGAGGCCGAGCTCAGGGGCGTGCTGCGCCCACCTGCCAGAGGCGCCCCCGGAGTGCGGGGCGGAGGCCCTGAGTCAGCCCGCGCTGGGTGGGGAGCCTTCCGCTCAGGCGCGCCCCATTTGTACTTCCTGCGCTCGCGTGTGCCCTGCGCCCCCAGTCCCGTTTACGCCCCGAAATAGCAGCCCCATCTGCTCCCGCCCACCGCGAGCGGCTGAGTCACCGCTGAGTCACCCCGCGCCCTGAAGCTGTAGACTTCCAGTTCCCAGCGCAGCTGCAGGTGACGCCCGCCTGGCCGGGTGGCATCGCCTCCCCGGGGCGGCCGGCGCCTGCTGCGGGCTGCGGGAGGTGCCCAGGGTGCTGGGGCAGCTGTCACCCACCGCGGGTGGCCCCTGCCTGGGGCTGGTTAGGTCTCTGGAAGCAGCCTCTGCTAGTGATGCCCGCCAAGGTCTGAATTCACAGATCTGCAGCCCTCGGGTGACTGGGGGGCTTCCAGGCTGAACGGTGATGGCCCCCTTGCGTGCTCCCTGCGCCGGGATTTGGGGAATCTGCCACAGGCCGGGCGGGTGCTGGTTAGAGCGGGCGGACCAGATGGCTAGATGTGGCAGAGGAGGGGAATGGGGGCAGCCCCAATAGGCCAAACGGACCCTCCCAGTGGGGCGCGTGGCCACGCGTGGCAGAGGGCGTGGGCTGCGGTGCGTGTCTCCAGGTCTGGTCTCGGTGTGGACATGGGGCAGCCGCGGCAGCGCTCTGGTGCGGGAAGTGGCACGTCACAGCGGCGGGCAGCAGAGGCCAACCGCTCTGCTCCCCTCCCGGTCCGTGGAGCTGAAGTCCACGGAGCCACTCGGGAGGGTCTTTGGAAGAAAGTGGCCATGACTGGTGGGCGCCCGACTGCAGGGGCGCCTGTGGTCTGAGTCACATCTGGGAGACGGGACCCCCAAGTTACCGGCGGGCACCAGAAGGCTGGCGGTGCCCAGTCACTGGCGGTCCCTGCCAGAGCCATTCGATCCCGTCGGGGAAGCTCTCTCCACAGCTCCCGCTGCTTCCCCTGCACGTTCCGGCTTTTAGCTTCCGCCGTGTCCGTGCGCCTTTCTGTGCACCGCGCTGTGGCCAGACCCTGGCTGTGAGACCTGGACGCTACTTCTCACTCTGGCCTCTGTTTCCCCCCCTGGGGCCTGCAGGGCCGTGGACACGCACCCTCCTGGTCACCACCCGCCTGGGCCCTGCACTCCCACCAGGTGCCGAGACCATGGGCCGCAGCAGCAGCGCCTGCAGGCCGCGTGCTTCCCCGCTTGTCTTAGGCGAGTCGTGCTAAGGGGAGTGTGTCCTGAATCACCCCCACCCGGACGTCCACGCGGAGCACAGGCCTCGGCCACGCGGGTGCTGTCCTGCACATGTTTCGAGATGGACCCTCTTGGGCCACTCTGTCCCCCGACCCCGCCACAGGAGGATGGCCTGCGGGACCAAGCGGGACTGTGCAGGAAGAGGCTTCGACTCACCGCGGACTGTCGGGGAATGGCAGGGGAAGTGGGGCCAGGCTCCGGGGGGGCTCGGTGCCCAGGGGACAGCCAGTGCTTGTTGGGCTCAGCCCAGCCAGCAGCTCTGCTCCGCTGGATCCACCCGCTGGCCCCGTGCTCTGGGCTGGAAGGAGGGGCTGGGGTCACAGAGGCCTGGGGGCGAGGGAAGAGAAACTGCAGGGGGGGCAGCAGGAGCCCAGTGCCTCTCTCCTCCCTTGCCAGGAGGGAGGGCACTTCCAGGGCACTCCTCCCAGGGCACTTCCAGGCCCCTGCCCGCAGCCTGAGGCTCCCGGGTGAGGAGCAAGCCACTTCCCAGAGGAGCTGCCACAGAGGCCATGTCTGGGTGCCACAGGGGGTGCTGTGTCTCCCCCTCCGCTCTGAGGGCCAGCCGGCCCCAGTAGAAGCTGCAGTGTCTGCAGGCGGCGCCTGCGGCCCCAGTGCTCCAGCCTCCGGGGCGTCCTGCACCCACTCCTGGCACCGCGTGCCCGCCGTCCTGCTCAGCTGCACGCGCTGCAGCGGTGGCGACACTTTCCAGACCAGGTGACACGCGGAGGTCCTGGGGTTAGGACTTGAGTGTGGCATTTTGGGGGGTGCGGTGTGACCTGGGGCGGTGCCCATGTAAAGGGCTTTCATTTTAGCCAGGAGACGGCTGAGCTTTCTCCCGAGCTGTCCCGTTCAAAGGCTTGCGGGCCCTCGGCTCTAGGCTGGGTTCATTTCGCCCACAAAGGCTGCTGGGAGGGGGCAGGTGCGGGGTGTGCG